TTATATAACAATAATTATCATTTCATGTGGTCTATTATGACAAAGCAAAATCTTTGAAAAAAAATTGTTTTGAAATTGCCAACTGAAGAAAAGCATACGATCTAAGAGATTACAGTCAACTGCTGTTTTGTTATTCACCACAGATTAATAGATAAATCTTTGTCAGCAATTTTAACAGACGTACTATAACATACACTTTAGTTTTAGATATCAATTACACTATCAATATCTGTTCCGGTTTTTGGTGGGGTTCGTGTTGCTCAGCCTTTGGTTTTCAAGGTTGTGTTTTGTGCGCCATTTGTCTGATGGTCTTTTTCGTTTTTAGCCATGGTGTTGTCAGTTTATTTTGAATATCCCTTTGGTATCTTTCGCCTCTCTTTTACATTGTTTGTCTGTTATATTTTTCTCCATTGCATTTTTAAATATTTAAATTCTATTACTTTTATTTTTGTATTACTATATCATTTTTTACCCCGAAATCGCATCGAGTTTGTTATCGTATCAATTCAAGTCCTCTGTAGAAAAGTCGTACAAAATGTCCTCCCTCCTGAATTTCGACACCTCAATATGACGTAATAAACACAATCTCTACTTTACTGAACAACAACTAAGGATGATTCGACAACAGAAAAACTGACAATACTGTTCCCATCACAAAACAAACGGAAAGGACCACTAGAGAAAGAATTGCAACAGATACTTCAACAGTAGTAGCTACGTCTTTATATAATCAGAAACAACATCCCAACCCATGAAACAAATATCTGCTTCACCTATCACAACCCTTCTAACAACACAGGAAACTACAATATGTTATTAATCAACTACACATGTATTCCAACAACAGAACAAACTTTAAAGGACGTGACAACTTATACAACAATCTAGATAAATTGTTGATTTATTTGCAATTTACCTACTGACAGAGATCTGTACTTTCAGGGATTAAAGGGGCATTAGCTGTCAAATTCACGATCACCGATTTGACTCAAAATCTCATATTTGATTTATTGCATACTAAAACGTATATCCAAATAACAAAGTCCAAAATAAACAATTAACAATGCATGGACTCGATAATATGTATCAACATTTCGTGTGTATTTTTGTCTAGACGTCATCTAATTAACCATCGAGATAACCTCCGAAGACTGCCGACGGTCATACAACCCCATATAAAAATAAATGTAAGTAGAAACAGATAGCGACCACGTGCAATTGGATTTTTTTTTTTAGGTCTGTTTGATTTCAAATTGTAGGTTTAAAAGTATGTTTATCATCTATTTTACCTGTATAATGATTTTTTTGTAGATCGAATCAGTCAACCAAATGGTTCATCCTTGTTTCACTTTCAATGTTGACATTCTTTTCCTTTTAATAGCTGAATACATGCGTAGCCAATCTCCAGCTAAGGGGTTAAATTAAAGGTCAAATGCAAATCTTATTCTTGTCTATCAGTTACGTTTTTGAAAAGGAGTTATAAGGAGCAATGGGCGGCTTGGTAATTAACATTATCATCCTTTACGACAGACAAAATAGCTGATCTGAAAGGTACACGATCTACTTACCACTATACATCATATACTGTGTTACAACCTTAGATAAATATAAAAATAAGAAGTGTGGTATAATTGCCAACGAGACAACTTTCCACAAGAGACCAAATGACACAGAAATTAACAACTATAGGTCACCGTACGGCCTTCAACAATGAGCAAAACCCATACCGCATAGTCAGCTATAAAAGGCCACGAAATGACAAATGTAAAACAATTCAAACGAGAAAACTAACGGCCTATTATGTACAAAATAATGAACAAAAAACAAATATGATACACAGAAACAAACGACAACCACTGAATTACAGGTTCCTGACTTGGGATAGTCACACACAGAATGTGGCGGGGTTAAACATGTTAGCCCATCCCTCCCCTAACCTGGGACAGTGGTGTAACAGTACAACATAAGAACAAACTATAAAAATCAGTTGAAAAAGGCTTATATCGTTGGTTCATGTTTGTCATAATTGTTTTTCGTAAATTGTTTTGTTATAAATTAAGCCGTTAGTTTTCTAAATTGAATTGTTTCATATCTTTTATGTCAGGGCCATTCATAGCCGACCATACGGTAGGGGTTTTTCTCATTGTTGGAGGCCGTACGGTTGCCTTTAATTGCTTACATCCACTTCATTTGAACTTTGGTGGATAGTTGTTTCATTGGCAATCATACCACATCTCCTTATTTTTATATTACTAGTAACTCATCAGATGGATACACACGGAAATGCATATAACAGCCGACGAGGAAACCCATTAAATCGACCACCGAAAGCTAAATTTCTATGTAGCCTAGGTGGTCGAGTGGTATAGGGCGCTGGACACGGGGCAGACGGTGTTGCCACGATGTCACATAAGCAAGGGTTCGAATCCCGCTGAGGGAAGAACAAAGATTTGCTAACGCAAATTTGAAGATCTAACATAGTTGGGTTAAATTTGAGACGAATTATATATATATTCTGGTGTTAGTCCTGTATAAAGACGTGTTATGCGATGGAGACTGTCTGTCATAAAGTTGTCACATGTTTAGACGTGTATATACTTTTTTTTTAGACTTTTTTGGTCTTTTGGAAAATGTTGCTTGTGCTGTATTTAGACCCCTCTACCAAGAAATTTGTTTTGCATGCACACGTATAAAAATTGTGGTTTTTATCCAACGCAATCATAGGTTTGAACGTTGTTTTCAATTTAGACTTGTTTGTATTTTTTCGTTTGGGCTTGTATCATATTTGCCTTCGGGTTTATATAATCCGTTCATCCTATTTCGACTCTTCAAAATTCAAGAGTCAATCCTAAATTGAGGTAAATTATATGGCCTTCCAAATACCGTTTCTATTCCTAACATCACTGAAGAGACATTTTTTGTCGAAATCCGGATATGGTGTACCAATTTTTCCACCTTATGTTTGCGGTATACCATCTTTTTTCCGCAAGTTTATTGTTTTCTGTTTGGTATTAAAATTAATAAGTAAGATCCATTTTGTTACATCTGGTGATCCGTTTATTTGGCAATCGCCATGGCAGTAAGCAGGGTTTAAGAACATCTGTTGTTCGACCTGCTAGTCAAATGCGTTTTGTTAAAATATACTTTTTCACTTTTTTGGTCTTTTGGAAAATGTTGTTTGTGCTGTATTTAGACCCCTCTATCAAGAAATTTGTTTTGCATGCACACGTATAAAAATTGCTGTTTTTTTATCCAAAGCAATCATAGGTTTGAACGTTGTTTTCAATTTAGACTTGTTTATATTTTTTCGTTTGGGCTCGTATTATATTTGACTTCGGGTTTATATAATCCGTTCATCCTATTTCGACTCTTCAAAATTCAAGAGTCAATCCTAAATTGAGGTAAATTATATGGCCTTCCAAATACCGTTTCGATTCCTAACATCACTGAAGAGACATTAATTGTTGAAATCGGATATGGTGTACAAATTTTTGCACCTTATGTTTGCGGTATACCATCTTTTCAGCAAGTTAATTTTCTGTTGGTTGACCGTTATAGAATATCTGTGTCACAGATAACCATGGATATGTTGCAATTTTTGCCTTTTAATAACGCATCAACTGGGAGATAAATACTCCATTTGTAGGAGCTGCTGGAATGTTGCTATATAGAAATGGAGTTCACAATTGAAAGGCTGAAATTATACCTATAAGTTTGCTCTCAACCGACCCTCATTGTCAATTTCTAGATGTAAAAGTCAAGATATGAGACAGACCTAACTGTATCTATGATATCCTTTATTTCTAGTTCGATAGGATAGATGAGTTCAAAAAAATCTACAACTTTGAAATATTTCGTGAGAGGACATCATATTTTTAGCGGAACATGAAGTTAAAGGAAAATGCTATAAAATTCAAAAATAAGATGCTGTGGTATGATTTCCAGTTGTTATTATTCATAATAAGTTCCTGTATGAAATCTGTCTCATAGGAATAAAGGAACAAATCGGCAGGAAGAGGAGCATAATTTGTTCCCATAGAAATACCGATTGTTGGTTAAAAAGATAGCCATTTTTATCTATGTTGGACTTTCTTTTCAATGAAACAAAATTGGACAACTTCTTTCAATCTGTCTTGAAGTATAGAATGGGGAATACAATGTACTAGTGTAAAATCATGAACCTCGGTAGTACTTATCTTGTGTCACGTTTTTATGTGTTTTGTCTTCTTTTTTAGGGAATTTGATTTGACGATAGACCGTTGATAGTCTTTGTCAAATATATTCACTTTTTTCCTAGTCGCGGAGCTAATGTAGACATCATTCCTCCCTACTGTTTAATACCATATGTTAAAATCTGGATGCCTTTAGCTTTTTTGTTGGGAACTGCTGTCTCAATGACCCATACCCAAAATCTCCTTTTATTCATAAACGTTTCTTGTAGTACACTGTCAGTCAGGAGTCTGTGCTTTCGAATTAACTAAACGATACCTTTTAGACGTCAATTAAAGTGTATACAATACGTAAATTTTGTAATTCAACTAAAATATCTTTGTTTCAGGCTAATTTGACAGAAAATATTCATTGTTGTTTTTAGGCCCTCTTTGGTTCGATATTCCCAAAATCCTTTTTCAGATTTGATGCTTTCCAAATCCCTTTTTTGGTTTTGATTCTCTTAAAAGCTATCGTTATACTTTATGGTATAAAAAACCCTTTTCGCGTTTGGTTCTCTTCCATATTCTACTGGTCTTGACTGTACCTGATGATTGTTATACCAGTAAAACTTTGTTGACCTCATTAGAATCGGTATCATACGTGGATGTTACATAAGAACAGTGGACGAATTCCCATACTAAATGAATAAACCATCTTTGTGCACTCAAAAACGTACTCTCGTCCTGAAAATACATGAAGTATTTGCCACTGGCGTCAAGGAGTCAACAATAAATCTTTCATATTAATTTAGAACATCCCATTTAAGTAATATAAAATATAACAATAAGAGAATTGTACATAATTTTATCTTCAACTAAAATGGTGAACAATGCAACAATTTGGCACACAATTTTACAAATACAAAAATACTGATATAGTATTATACAGTTCTCTAACAAATACTGAATGAATAAATTTCTAAAAAATAAACTTAACGCAGAGCAAATCACAGTCGTATAGGTAGAGAAGTAAAATGCACTGTAAAATCTCCACTAAATATGTATATGAAAATGGTAGAAACTATCATACAATGGCAACGTTTTAAAACTTCGCAGTTAATTCTAAATAGTTTCGAATGAATGTTTGAGACACAGGAGAGGATTAAAATTTCGATTCACATTCTTCCGTGCTGTTCAATTGACGGAAAGAAAACAAGTTTCGTGTATGTGCTAAAAATGTCCACATCCATCGGGGAGTTAAAAGATGTAGAAGAAGCGATATTGGGATATATAAATTTCGCTTTCTTTTCAGCAACAGTATATTTAATTTGATTTTGTTTGTTAAATTTTGGAACCACTAGATTATGGACTTATTACTGGCCTTAACACCTTAACACCCCCAACACTTATACTGCGACAAAAAAAGCCGTCTAATTATCAGAACATCTGTTTCCAATAATTACATATTCAAATTAACTCATAAAAATTACAACTTTTACCTAGTCCGAAAATAAACTTTGGCGAGTAAGGTTCGATAAATATATTCCTATTCGTACCCTGTTGCACTATTATTTGATTCATAACATGTAAATCTTTATAAACACATACAATACTCTTTATAAACACATACAATCGGCATTGCTGATATGCATATATCTACATTTCATAATGAATTACAATAACTCTCTCTCTCTCTCTCTATCTCTCTCTCTCTCTCTTTCTCTCTCTCTTAATGTTAGCATATCATGACATAATTAACTAAATTCCAAATGTAGCGGGTGTGTTGAGTCACAAGTAAAGCACAATGGAAATACAGTTTTCTTAGTGATCTTAGTGGTACATGTACTTTTTTTTTTTGTTGCATAGGGATTTTCCTCATCAAGCAACTTAATATCCCGTAAGATAATTTAATGAAAGACCTCAGGTCTGAGCCTGACACACCAAACTTGGCTTGAAAGTTACACATTTAGTGTACTATATTTCAAATAGAAAAGATAGTAGGTTCACGAAGGGTCAATATTGGTCCTATAATTCCGTGTAATTCAACTTCATTAGTAATAGTAAACACTAACAAAATATGTAAAAGTATTTTGCAAATACAAAATCAACAAGTTCTGAATGTTTAGAAAACTTATCGTCGCTGGGCTTCCAAACGGTCGTATATGACTTTTTTTGCTAAAACTACTTTTTCACACAAACCGGCTTGGCGGGAGGAAATCTTTGATATTTCAAAATATCATACAATTAGACCAATTAAAACATTTGAAATAAGACGTGTGACAAAATTGCCAATCCCAATTGCTTGTAAAGTTTGCTTCCTAAATGTTGTATGTAAACTTGAAAATTGTTGTATAACGGATTTGGGAATCAAGATTTCATTCTACTTGTTGTTCGTCTATGAAGAGACGGTGCATATCCTGTATTCAAAAGATAATTGAATGTTCCTTGATCAGACCGTAACGATCCTTCCATTCTGATTGGCTCTTTTTTTCACTGTCTTTTTCATTGCTTCTCGATCTTTCTCTGAAGCATAATTATGTTGTTTGTAACGAATGTAGTTTAAAAAAGTATCGACTGTAAATTTTATTTTGCTTTGAAACTGAGTCAAATCCGCGGATTTCTTTCTCTGTTCCTGGGTATCAAAATATATGTCGAATGCAAGATAAACAAAAGAGATCTTCTAGGGAAAAGACAACCGAAAGTTGTTGCAGTCGCCATTGTGGGTATCTATCTTCAAGAACCACTGCACATGTCTGTAAAATCATGGCTATAAGTGAATTTATTAATAAAACATAAGTAAGCAATGCAAACACTATGTAAAGCGCTATTGCTAAACCTGGGATTCTGGCTTGAATTAAAACTCCAAAATCATCCAAACCTAACATTAGCTTAAACATAGTTAACATAGCACCTCCACAACAACTATAGCACCTCCAAAACTACTAAAGTGTTCAGTTATAGCTTCCTCGTATGCAGAAGTTTGCTGATATAAACTCACCTTGTTTGTTAAGTTTGCTTCCTAAATATTGTATGTAAACTTGAAAAGTGTTGTATAAAGGATTTGGGAATCAAGAACTTTTACATTTCTTTATTTCTGTAAAAAATAAGGTCATTATGACATGTAATAATATGCACGGTCAAGAAGAAAAATCATCATTTTGACTACCTTTTGGATAATTTAAATAGTTTTTGCTTCAAATGACATTGGAAACATGATTATTTTGTAAGGATGTGTGTCTGACCCACATAATGCTTTGTATAACAAATTTGTTTTGGTCGAAGGATATGGCCAACGTTTTTCAGAAGGAAAATATGTTACAAATTAAGGAAGATCGGTCTTTCAGAATCAGTTTCGTATCAAAATATTATGCATCTTAAGTTTTTCGTACATATCAATTTCAGTGAATTAAGTTTAACCAATGTTGAGTTTATTTTAATACTGAATATGGCTGCAATGTTTGCCATTGAACATGTAGTGTCTAACAATCAACTCATCAAATACAGTCACATATCATACACATACACATGTTTGCTTTTGATCCAAAATACTTGTAAAATTTAAATAACCTTATTGATTATTTAGCTTTATCAACAAAGGAATGAAAGGACCCAAGTCAACCTCAGATTTAATTTATATACTATTAGTAATTTGCAAACGGCATTCAGCCAAACTAATCCTTTTAACAAAGAATTATCAAAGTCTAAGTATGAAAAATAACTAAAATTTTGCAATTAAACTGTTCCACGAAAAGGTAGTTAATACTGAGAATTAAGAAAACTGATTTTATAACAAGTCATTATCAAATATGAAAGCATTACAAAAAAGATATGCTCATGTCAAAACTATTCCGGATAAAAATAAATAATCCTTGAGATATCTTACAAACGAGCACTAATATGTTAGCGCTATACGTATAATGTTATAAGACTACAAAATTCTTGACAATAATAAAATCATTCATGAATTAAATGTTACAAAATATTCTACTAGTTCTATGCACCAATCTAGTCATATCTTATTTTGTTACATCAGGTGTAACAAATAGATAAAAGCGTCATTAAGAAACAAAAAACAAAACAAAACAAAAAACAAAACAAAACAAATTAAAACAAAAACAAATGCACATGCACTTTAAACGTCTTCTAAAATGTATGGAGACAACCAATGTAAAATTTAGTGTTTTATATCACAAAATTCACCTCAATTACTGAACAGGTTCTGCGTACCTTTTCCTTTTTAAATTAAATAGACAAAATGCAAACATTCAAGTGGAACTAAACGGACTAGCTGAATGAATAAATAACGTATAGTGCCTAAAAATATAGGCAACAGCTGCACTGGCCTTGTCAACTGTTTAAGATTTATCGTAAATGCATTCTAATATACGTTACTACATATATATGGATGTGTGCATACTGTAGGTAGGGAACTTGTAAACAAAATTAAGATTATTAAAAGAAAAACAAATCTAAAAAGAATAATTTCAAATATATATCAAATTCTGAAAATAAATGTGAAATGATCTCAAGAATGTCAAATATGAATGAAAATAAGCCATTTTGTAATTGATTGCTATGTTACAGTCTTTTATGATTAAAAATGTATGCACCCGATAATTTATGTCGGATATCTCAAAACAGTTTTTACATGTTAATTATTTTAAAGCACCCAACTATCATTTTTATTGAGGGGCCAGAGTAGGGCATGTGTTTTGTTCTCGGGATGAACAATTTTTCGACTTTATGTCAAAACAAACTATTTTTTGAATAACATACAGGAACAAGAACAATATTTACAACTCAATGTTGTTTTCATTTATTTTTCCGAATTTCCACTTCCCTTCTGAAAATAAATATTTTTTAAAGAAATTTAGAATTAAACAAATTATTAAAAAATAACATCCCCCCATAAAAGATATGGTCGGAGCCTAACAGGCATTTATATATTTGCTCATTTACATAAATTTCAGAAAACCAATAACAAATGTCTGTTACGTACTTTAATTACTGGCTCCGTTAATCTTAACAATGCCTAAAATCTTTCATTTATATTAATCGTATGATTTATGCACTTGCATTAGGGTATGGCTCTATATCAACGTGAGGATATCCATTTGGTATAAAAAGTTCTTTTCTTTCAGGGCAACTGTAAAAGTGATCATGAACATGCATTTTATTTTCGACGGGAGTAAGTAGTCCATCTGATCGCGTATATTCACTCGCCGCTGAAGCAACAGACGGAGATTTTCTATTTTCCTTTTCATGCATGTTTTCCGAATGGTATCTACGCCTTCTGCTCTGAGGTGATTTTTCTGATTTAATCAAATCTGGTTCAGAACCTAACTTTGTAGCCGACTGTTTTATAATTATTTCCTCTTCTAACACTCTACTGAGCTGCTTATTTTTTCTCGCTGATTTCTTTCGCTGTATACCAGTTCCATCATCAATGATTATAGATGGCGTTTCTATTTCAGGTCGTTTCATTCTACTTGTTGTTCGTCTACGAATGGAAGGTGCATATCCTGTATTCAAAAGATAATTGAATGTTCCTTGATCAGACCGCAACGATCCTTCCATTCTGATTGGCTCTTTTTCTTTCACTGTCTTTTTCATTGCTTCTCGGTCTTCCTCTGAAGCATATGTTGTTTGTAACGAATGTATTTTTAAAAAGTATCGACTGTAAATTTTATTTTGCTTTGAAACTGGGTCAAATCCGCGGATTTCTTTCTCTGTTCCCGGGGATCCAAATATATGTCGAATGCAAGATAAACAAAAGAGATCTTCTAGGAACAAGACAACCGAAAGTTGTTGCAGTCGCCATTGTGGGTATCTATCTTCAAGAACCACTGCACATGTCTGTGACATCATTGCTATAAGTGAATTTATTAATAGAACATAAGTAAGCAGTGCAAACACTATGTAAAGAGCTATTGCTAAACCTGGGATTCTGGCTTGATTTAAAACTCCAAAATCATCCAAACCTAACATTAGCTTAAACATTGTTAACATGGCACCTCCAAAACTACTAAAGTGTTCAGTAACAGCTTCCTCGTATGCAGAAGTTTGCTGATCTAAGCTCATCTCACCGACAAAAACGGCATACATGCCTGCTGTAAATGCAAACAACATAAACGAAATAATGACTGAAAATCGCAAAAGATCTCCTATAATGACTCTTCGGATCATTTCTGTGAAAAAACTAAATAGCCGGATAGCACGTAAGAAAAATACGGAAAACCACCAACCAGCAATAACGGCTAGTATTAAAGCAATATTGTCGTGTGTGTTTTTGGTTCTTGTCATGAAGAAGTCAACAAATAAACTTACAGAAAACGCAATTAAAAAGAATACGTATCCTAAGTTGTGAAAAATATATCGAAGCGTATTCGGTCGCCTTGCCTTAGCAATCAGCAACAAAAGGACCATTAAGCAATAGACTCCACCACCAAGAACGACACTCATCCAGGATACAAATTCAGCAAACGTTCTAGATGCAGCCGGAACATGAATTTCGAGTGTAGTTGTGTTTGAGGCAGTTTTGAGGGCATATAACTCAGACCTGATGACTATTTCCATAGTTAAAAACACGGTCATTAATACATGCAGAAAGCCCCATATGAAATAAATATACCTTAATTTCTGCCATTTTTCAAGAATGATATTCTTTACTGGTATGGTTTCAATTATTCTGAAGGCAGAATGACTCTGGTAGTCGAAATCAAACATCATTTCTAAAATCGATTCAGTTTCTGGATAATCAAACTGGCTACATTTAAAAGGGTTGCAATTCGTTTTTGACTTGATACTTGTACGAGAAACACCGTCAATATTTCTGGAAACCTTTTTGCTTCCGTAACCTTCGTTTGCAGTTGTAGTCGATGCCACATGATGATTAGCAACCGTATCAATTTCAGTGATGTCATACAATTTTACGTCAAACAGTCCGTCATGTGTGCTTACAAATGAATAGACGTTTTCAAGTTTAATTATGAATTGGAAAATTTCAACAACTCCTAGTTTAGCGGACAGTTGCAATGGTGTCAGATAGTCGTCGTTTTCCAAAAACCAGATATATGAATCTTCTTTTAAGAAGATGTCGGTGTCCATGCCTTGGTATCGACCTTGACTTGAATTATTCTCTCTCATTCTCTCGATGAGGTATGTAAACATGCTAATAACATTGTCGGTTTTGTTTGGATAAACAGCAGAGTATTTTACCAGAGAATGTAAAACAGTGTCCCCACAACTGTTTTGAGCATGCATATTAGCCCCATGTTCCAACAAGAGATCCACGATGTTCTCGTTAAAAGTCAAAGCCGCAACACTTAATGGTAGTTCTCCCATCATTACCGTATTAGCAAATATTCTGCCAACTGCCGGTGTATTGATCATAGTCAATTTCGTCCGGTTTGAAAACTGCTTTCTCTCCGATTCTAAACCCGACGACGAAAGCAATAATTCTGTTACCTTATCATCGCCTCTCGTTATAGCAATGTGAAGTGGTGTTTGTCCTTTGTAGTTTTCGGACGTTTCCCTTGCCAGAGACAGTAAGTCTGGACATATATTAATTATTCTGTTTATAATATCAAAATCATCTTCGTATTTTACGGCCATATGAAGTAAAGTCTCGCTTTCATCTTCACCTTCGCGGTATTGCTTCATGCAGTGTAAAGGACTACATTTGCCTTCCATTATAGAGAGCAGTTCGCGAACTTTTTCGTTTGAATTGGCTTTTATTCCAGACGACAGTTCTTGTAAAAAATTATCAGGATTTGTATCCAGTAGTGTGATGAAATATCTTCGTGTATTTTTATCCATCTTTCGTCGTGTGATGAGTGTTTTCTTTTGTTTTTCACCTGTAAATATAAGAAATCTATTTAACGTCGTCCGTACAAACATTTCTGATATTTTTAATTAAAATTACATGATTTTTAGTAAGTTATGCACATTAATTTGTATTAGAATCATTTAATTCAATGAGTAAAGAAAAGATATATTAGTCGGGTAAATCATAGTAATGTGATGATAATAATTACGACAACAACAATAAGATTAATAATGATAATATATAAAGATAGTAATGGTAATAATAATGATAAAAGTAGTGATTACTTGTAGCTCCTGTAATATAGAAATCATTTCTTGTAGCTCCTATTCTGTTCAACCCGAATAACGTGCTTAACATTGTTACTGACAAATTGTGTTCTTTTGATTTTATAAGAAAGCTATCAACACGATTATGGCATGTGTAAAAGGGACTTTTTAATCAGTTTGAGAAAATGACTAACCTAGGACTTTGTTCGTTGTTTTTTTTTATATATATATATATATAGTACTTTATGACTTTTACAAGCATTACTAATAGTTGGAATAAAAATTAGAACGATTAGTTTCCCTTAAAGCATTCGAAAGTCCTTTTAAAAATATTAGTTTTAAATGAACTATGAACTATGTCCGAAATTAGGGTCAATTCATGATAAGCATAAACTTCTTGTCGTATTCTTTAGTCTAAAATTTATATTCGGTACAGGAATCTCCTGCTATTAGCTAGGCAATAAGAACTACAGATGCAACAGTCAATACAGTTTAAATATGCTGTATATACAATGTAAAAATTCATTGTATTACAATGGGAATCGGAATTTCAGACAACAATCTGCTGTACACGAAAACAATTTGGAATGTCAATCTTGATCACAGATCATAATCTACAATAGCGAAAGTCGGTATTGGGTGTGGGGTGTTGAACAACAAATATTAATTTAGAAGTGGTAGTAATCGTAATCTCCATGCGTTGATTTAGTTGATGCTCTATGACATTGCTATGTTTCTATATATGCTTTATGTGCCGACGGTATCAGCAAGTCCCTAGTATAAGTCAAATATACAGATAAGAATGTGGGATACAAATGCAAGCGGGTCTAAACATACACGTTATAGGTGCTATTGATTGACGGTCGTAAACATGTGATGGGTAATGAATAGCTTGGTATTTTAAGAGAGAAGTAACAGTTCAGTTTCTCGATAAAACTTCTTCCATATATCATGTCATATTAATCATGTACATTACTGAAAAACAAATTATCAATTTCTTTCGATATACACAAAATTCTGCTGCGGCATCCCACTAAGGATGATTGTTTCGCATTATTAAGCGCAAAACTTAAAATTGTTCACAAGGAAAGTAATTAATCGCCATGTTTTTCATAGACATTGAAGTGTATCACCACTCACCCATCCATTACATATGTCAAGCTTCTTATCGCACGAGTCTATACGACCTTGGATTAAATCTGACAGAAATTACCAAGAATCTGCCATCAAAAACAGATTCTTAAACAAAACATGAGCAAAACAACCACAACCGAGTTTTCCGACAGGCATATTTAAAGTAGGGGTAATACTAAAGTACTCAACCCGACGGATCGTTATTTCTCGGTCAACGTAGATAACACATGGTATATAGCCAAACCTTCAATTAAAACCAGTTAAGAAAAAAAACCAAAATATTCTGATATCATATTAGTAAACACAAGAAAATCCTACTAAAGAATAATACGAAAATCTCAGACGCCAGTCTTCAAAGATTCGTAATTAGGTGTCTGCAAAACTTACCCTTCGGTGCCTACGAAATCCATGACTTGTTTTCGTCCCCGTGAAAAATTCGTATTATTCTCGATAAAGATATACATTCTTTCCAAAAAATAGCCAACACATTTAGAATCCATTCGGACAATTGTATGCGTGTATCATATTAGGACTTTTTGACCCGTTTCAATTCTTCCTAACTTAATATGCGTAATTTATTTTATACTATGCTATACTCATATATGTTTTAAATTGTATATCGTAATCTATGATAAGTATATTAATTAATAACTTGTAACCTAAGATTATTTCCCCACTTAAACATGTTAAAATAGTTTTATTAGTTAAACAGATATTAGCCTTTATTACCTGCAGGTTTAGATTTACTCCTTTTAATGATTTTACGACTTTCATCAATTGTTACATTTCCCTTTTCTGTTTTACTTTCGACGCTGTATTCTTTTTCATTTTCTTCTTCCATTTTTGTAGTTTCTAACCGTAAGTATACTAACAAAATAATGTTTATATCAAAGATCTTCAATTTTACTTTCATTGAAAATCTCTTTTCCATGGAGTGCATTTGAATAGTATAATGTTCATTTGGTTATTGTTTTTAAACAGTATGATTTACAAAATAGCGTAGTCAGTATACTGAATTTATAATTGGTGTGGTTTGATTTAATTTATTTCATTATTGCTTCGAGATTTTATGATAAAACTTCTTTCCTATGTAACTATGATATAAAAATTCATATTTTAAGAAAAAGTTCAAATAGTTATTGTTTTCTTGATACACGTGATGCATTGCTTATTGTAGATCTAAATGTTTGAAATGCAATTATATAACGGCCTTACTTGTGTTTTAAAAGGAAAGACGATTCTAATATCATAATTACCACATACCGTCGTAGAATATGTAATAAGTAATTACTTAATAACCAAATACAAAAAAAAATCCCTTTAAATAACCTTTTCTCTACACGAAACTTTTATAAGTCATATAACAAACCCCATTTGAAGATTTAAAAGCAGTGTTGCTTATGTATTTATATAAACTAAATAAAGGCATTTTGTACTATCTTTTTAATGTACAATGACCCGACCAATGTCACAAATTAACCATAGTGTACCTTTGTAAACATTCATTTTTACGATAAAAGGATATTTTGGCTTAAAACCTTGGCAAATGTAATATTTGATTTAATCCGCATTTTTTCAAACTTCAAAATTAACTGCAATTGATATGCGAGACCTTTATTTATTATATTTCCAAAACTAAACTCGGCCTTGTTTAAACGGACAATCGCAGAACAAATGTTTTTAAAGGTTGCCAACTCGATGAATTACATACGATCTGTGAGATTACAGACAACGTAAAAGTTTGTTGTTCATGTCAGGTTCATGGATAAGGACAATCAAAGAATTAACTAAAAATCTATGTCAGCATTTTTACAGACGTACAACAAAAGAATTTAACAATAATATACAGAATGTATTTGTTAAGCCATCGTTTTACAAAAACAACATGTAAACATTTTCCAGATATTTTGTACGCATCGGTATTGGCAAGAAAATACGAATATTGTTTTATTGAAACTTGTTGTTTTAAGATTTTGGAAATAATCTAAAATTAAGGAATGTATCTCCTTAGGCAAAGCTCATATTTCTTGTACGGGCATGGCAACCGTTTTAGTCCTATTTTGTTTCAGAATATCTTCAATGTTAATATAAAGTTTTTTTTCAAATTTTTTGGCCTCAAAGGTCAATGGACAGACATAAATTGTCTAAATGCGCATCTGGTGCAGTTAATATGAAGCGTTAATGTTATTGCAGTTGAATTCTTCGACCAACATTATAAAATCCAAATAAAATCAAGGAGAAATTCATAAGCCTGGTTATCTTTGGTGATATATTTTACCCTTCTTGATGAAACTGGACTTTTAAAACAATTTTTAAAAAATGTAGAAGAGGAAAAAAATAGTGTAAATATAAAAAAAAAACACAGATGTGGTATGATTACCAACGAATGAGACAACTGAGACAACTATACACCAGGGACCAAAGTAAGAGGATTTAGGCAACTATATGTCGTCGTACGGCCTTTAACAATGAGCAAAACTGATACGGTATAGTGAACTATAAATAACCACAGCATGACAAAATGGGAAATAATCCAAAAGAGGAAAATATAATGTGTGGTGTATATTAATTTCAATATAAAATGTCATTTCGGTGTTTAACGTTGCCAGATGAATTATCTAGTTTTATTCTCGTTTTTGGTTCTGAATAATTATTATTAAATAAACGTTTATCAGAATTTCATTAAAAATTATACTAATCTATGCTGCACGATGTTTTCTATCAAAACTTAATCTTAAATAGTGTTACATGACTTACCATAAAGTTGCTGGCGCACATTACAATGTGCTTATCATAAAGTCCCAGAAAAAATGTAGTAAATGAATAAAATAATTATTTCAAATATATGAAATCACTTTGAAACAGCGATAACTATGGAAAATGTGGCAATACCTTTTTCCCACTGTCTCGATCAGCCTCGCGATCAGCACACGAACAAAATATTAAATGCGCAATGAAATTAAAAAGAAACGCAATGTGATTACAATCTTTAAGATTACATTTCTATTACCCAAGAAAAGGATGCTGAATATAAGGGATTGTTGCAGTTAGATATATTGTGTCTCTCCTATAGTCCATTGATTATTTCAGTCTCTACTGATAATGAAAATATAATTTATGTTTTGAAAGCGTTGGCTGTTGTATATACATGTTGTTAAGTGACTTTTGATTATCAACGAGACTGAGTACAATATTGGTAGATTTCAAAGATTGACTAAACAACGGCAGTTGTTGTTTGCAATTATCACTTAACCATCGTATGCTGTCAAATACAAGAATGTAATTTGAATGACAAATCTAAAATAGAGAAATAGATTGATTACCGCAGTCAGTCCAACTGTTTTTTCTCAAATAAAATAATAATAAAACACTTATGAACCACATCAACAAACGACAACTACTGAACATCAAATTCCTGACTTAGGACAGGTGCAAACAATTGCAGCGGGTTTAAACGTTTTAATGGTACCAAACCTTCATCCTTTTTCTGAAACAATAGTGTAACATCACAACATAGAAAGACACACTATAAAATATCAACTGAAATAGCTTAACTCAATCAAAGGACATATTAACACCAGTGAACATACACTGAACAAATAAATTTGACCTATGATACAATGTAAATACAAAATAAATAAACTAAGGGAAGAATAATAAAAGTAACATGTTATACCGCTATGAAATGTTAAACAATTTAAGAAAACAATATGCTCGAACAAAAATATCAGCCATTTGCAATTACTTTAAACACAAGTAAATGAAAATAATTTTGTTGTTATGTATACGTGTACAGTTCAAATAGAGAAAGGAAATATTTTTACAAAATAAATGATTAAGACTAAAAATCGTAGTATGTACATTTGCAGAAGGGTAATCTACATTCAGATGACATTAAGATATACCAGTAGTCTTCTCAACAGTCAATACAACCCTACGATCAGTAACGGCACCTTTAATTTGTGATGATGTCAATGATTTATCTGTGTGAAATATAATAACAAGCACAAAGAGATCATGATGCACCTCTAAGAAATTCTATTTCAAATATAAAACAAACCATGCTGCTTTTTTGAGAAATCCCATATTATTCACAGGACGTTCTACATCTGTGAGAAATATGACAACAAATACTGAACAGACCATGCTGCATCTGTACGAAATTATATATCAATCACAGCACAGACCATGCTGCACCTGTGAAAAATCTCATAGCAAATACGGAACAGACCATACTGAATTAGTGAGAAATTTCGTTGTACGCATAGAGTGTCCATCGATAGTTTTTTTGTGATGCTTGTTTGATTTTGTGAGCAACAAAATAGGTGTAGTGTCAGAGATAACCAGATATACGATGTATATGAACAAAACTAATCAAAGATACCAGACTGATATTTTTGTATTCAAGCTGCGCATTTCGAATACAAAAAACTCACCAGTGACACTCGAATAAAAAAAGTTAAAAAAAAAACAAATCAAGTACGAAGTTGGAGATCATTAAAAAAACAAAATTCCAAATTGTTTACCAAAAACTGCTACGGTGATCTATTCCTAGGGTATGAAATCATGCATAATCTCAGATGTAGTATAAACATGTCTTAAAAGACAAATAAACAAAAAATCAAACAATACATTTGCCTAATAGTTTTAATATTAGTCACAGTAAAAAGAAATCTGCATTTCAAAAGTCAGATTCTTTAAGGAGTGTACTGTTTGTTCCTACACAATCTTGTTGATAGGTTGATTCTTCATCCAAAGTATGAGATTTCTATAAGAAAAAGAAAAAAATACATATTTTTGGTTTTTAAAGTCAAACGCTGGAGGCGTAACCATGTATAGTCTAGCACCGAAGATTTAAACTCCAGTGCCGGAGATGTAAAAGACTAGCAGTAATGATGAGTGACGTATGCCGAACTAAATAAACGTACTCAAATAATTGTTGATTACATACTCAGTATAGTCTGTTATATACATGATTTTTTTTGTATTGTTTTACTTCGTGCTTAAAAACTTTCATTATTTGCACTATTTAATGTTAATTGTTTAGTAAATAAGAATCATCAGCAGTTTTCCAACGTTCAAAACTCGTAAATATATTTTGAATAAACATGAGAAAGAAGCCTCAGGAATCGCTTAAGCGTCCCCTGCTATGGATGCATCACCCGATGTGTGAATTCAGATTAAGTTTTAAAAAACACAATTGGGAATACGAGACAATTTTGCAAGAATTGAGTTTTTTGTGTTTCCAAGCAGACATCAATTCAAGAGCCTTGTCCGTAGTTGTCGTGTGCCATATCATTAATTTGCATAGAGAGTTGTGTGTTGATGGCAGATCTTAAATAATCTTTCTGTTTAATATTTTCACTACTTTATAAACTAGGGAAGATTAAGAGCGTGACATTTTGATGCATTTTCGTAACGCTATATCGACGAACGCAGAAGACTCCTTTCGTTATGGATGTTTCGTAACGCTATATCGACGAACGCATAAGACTCCTTTAGTTATGGATGTTTTGTAGTAAAGGTTTAATATGATAAGAAACTTTTATTGGTAATTGTATATTTACGACATCGAAATATAAAGTACCATTATTAGTACGCTTGATGGACATTTCTAGATTTGTCAAATTTTAAATCTTAAGATGCATAAATACGTATAAGGAGCTATTCAATCAGAACTCTTAACCATATAAACTAATCGAGATGTAACTTATGTTTTAATTAGCTCTTCAAGTTCCAAATGTCATCAAATATGTATGAAATTTTATTTTTAGTATTCAAATATTTACATATTTTCAAGAACGACTTCGATTGAGAAGTTTTCTTTTTATTTAATACTTACTTCAGTTACAGGAACATCGTCTGAATCTGAAGCAATTTGAATCAAAAGTCATGTCCGGTGAATGCCTATTTTTTATCCAGAAAATCATAATGCTGATGACAAAAACTGCTATAAAAATGCCAATAAGAATGACACTTAGTGTGTTGTTCGTCACTATCACACGAAAACTGTCTAAATCTGTATCCACTGTCACATTTTTCATAACTTATCTGGATACTCTAAATCGAAACAATATATAATTTCTTAGTCTTCACACAATTCTAAGGCTAAATTCTAATATCATAATAACATTTCAAAATGATAGACAACGTCAGTATGTTAAGTCCTTGATTTTTTCCTACGCAGCTGCTAACATTCCTTGACATTTATTGTTTATTATTGTTTTTGCTTATACTTGTATTATTGGTTTCTATCATACGGTTCAGTTCTTTTCGTTTACTGATTTTTTATTGTTCTTTTATTTACATTTTTTTAACACTGTTGAAGAAAAAGAAGGATGAGAACTAGTCAAACCTCGCCACAAGTTCATGTGTCTTTACCAAATCAGAAACCTCGCTCCATGTTCACGTGTCTTTACCAGTCAGGAACCTCGCCCACTATTCACGTGTCTTTACCAAGTTAGGAACCTCGCCCCATGTTCACGTGTCTTTAGCAAGTCAGAAACCTCGCCCCATGTTCACGTGTCTTTACCAAGTCAGAAACCTCGCCCAATTTTCAAGTGCCTTTACCAAGACAGAAACCTCGCCCCATGTTCACGTGTCTTTACCAAGTCAGACACCTCGCCCCATGATCACGTGTCTTTACCAAGTCAGAAACATCGCCCCATGTTCCAGTGTCTTTACCAAGTCAGAAACCTATCTCCTTGTGCAAGTGTCTTTACCAAGTCAGAAACCTTTGTATTTACCCAGTCAGAAACCTCGCCCCATGTTCACGTGTCTTTACCAAGTAAGAAAACTCGCCCCATGTTCACGTCTTTACCAAGTAAGAAAACTCGCTCCATGTTCACTTAGCTTTACCAAACCAGAAACATCGTCAATGGTTGTTTTTTGTTATATCTTAATGTTATTATTATTTTGATAATTTGGTAATGCTGGCAGATCTTTGATTGCCTCTGTCATATTGATTAACAATTCGTTTAGACTCGGGGATATAGAGCATTTGTGTGTTGTAAAATAGACTCAGGCGATATAGAGCTTTGTGTTATCAAATAGATTCAGGCGATATAGAGCTTTGTTTGTTGTATAATAGACTCAGGCGATATAGAGCTGCTAACATTCCTTGACATTTATTGTTTATTATTGTTTTTGCTTATACTTGTATTATTGGTTTCTATCATACGGTTCAGTTCTTTTCGTTTACTGATTTTTTATTGTTCTTTTATTTACATTTTTTAACACTGTTGAAGAAAAAGAAGGATGAGAACTAGTCAAACCTCGCCCCACGTTCATGTGTCTTTACCAATCAGAAACCTCGCTCCATGTTCACGTGGCTTTACCAGTCAGGAACCTCGCCCCATAATTACGTGTCTTTACCAAGTTAGGAACCTCGCCCCATGTTCACGTGTCTTTACCAAGTCAGAAACCTCGCCCAATTTTCAAGTGCCTTTACCAAGACAGAAACCTCGCCCCATGTTCACGTGTCTTTACCAAGTCAGACACCTCGCTCCATGATCACGTGTCTTTACCAAGTAAGAAACCTCGACCCATGTTCCAGTGTCTTTACCAAGTCAGAAACCTATCTCCTTGTGCAAGTGTCTTTACCAAGTCAGAAACCTTTGTATTTACCCAGTCAGAAACCTCGCCCCATGTTCACGTGTCTTTACCAAGTAAGAAAACTCGCCCCATGTTCATATGTCTTTACTTAGTAAGAAAACTCGCTCCATGTTCACGTAGCTTTACCAAGCCAGAAACATCGTCAATGGTTGTCTTTGTTATATCTTAATGTTATTATTATTTTGATAATTTGGTAATGCTGGCAGATCTTTGATTGCCTCTGTTATATTGATTAACAATTCTTTTAGACTCGGGGATATAGAGCTTTGTGTGTTGTAAAATAGATTCAGGCGATATAGAGCTTTGTGTGTTATAAAATAGATTCAGGCGATATAGAGCTTTGTGTGTTGTATAAAAGACTCAGGCGATATAGAGCTTTGTGTGTTGTAAAATAGACTCAGGCGATATAGAGCTTTGTGTGTTATAAAATAGACTCAGGCGATATAGAGGTTGGTGTGGTGTATAATAGACTCAGGCGATATAGAGCTTCGAACATTCCTTGACATTTATTGTTTTTGCTTATACTTGTATTATTGGTTTCTATCATACGGTTCAGTTCTTTTCGTTTACTGATTTTTTGTTGTTCTTTTATTTACATTTTTTAACACTGTTGAAGAAAAAGAAGCATGAGAACTAGTCAAACCTCGCCCCACGTTCATGTGTCTTTACCAAATCAGAAACCTCGCTCCATGTTCACGTGTCTTTACCAGTCAGGAACCTCGCCCCATATTCACGTGTCTTTACCAAGTTAGGAACCTCGCCCCATGTTCACGTGTCTTTAGCAAATCAGAAACCTCGCCCCATGTTCACGTGTCTTTACCAAGTCAGAAACCTCGCCTCATTTTCAAGTGCCTTTACCAAGTCAGAAACCTCGCCCCATGTTCACGTGTCTTTACCAAGTCAGACACCTCGCCCCATGATCACGTGTCTTTACCAAGTCAGAAACCTCGCCCCCTGTTCCAGTGTCTTTACCAAGTCAGAAACCTATCTCCTTGTGCAAGTGTCTTTACCAAGTCAGAAACCTTTGTATTTACCCAGTCAGAAACCTCGCCCCATGTTCACGTGTCTTTACCAAGTAAGAAAACTCGCCCCATGTTCACATGTCTTTACCAAGTAAGAAAACTCGCTCCATGTTCACTTAGCTTTACCAAACCAGAAACATCGTCAATGGTTGTCTTTTGTTATATCTTAATGTTATTATTATTTTGATAATTTGGTAATGCTGGCAGATCTTTGATTGCCTCTGTTATATTGATTAACAATTCGTTTAGACTCGGGGATATAGAGCTTTGTGTGTTGTAAAATAGACTCAGTCGATATAGAGCTTCGTGTGTTATAAAATAGACTCAGGCGATATAGAGCTTTGTGTGTTGTATAATAGACTCAGGCTTTATAAAGCTGCGAACATTCCTTGACATTTATTTTTTATTATTGTTTTTGTTTATACTTGTATTATTGGTTTCTATCATACGGTTCAGTTCTTTTCGTTCACTGATTTTTTATTGTTCTTTTATTTACATTTTTTAACACTGTTGAAGAAAAAGAAGGATGAGAACTAGTTAAACCTCGCCCCAAGTTCATGTGTCTTTACCAAATCAGAAACCTCGCTCAATGTTCACGTGTCTTTACCAGTCAGGAACCTCGCCCCATATTCACGTGTCTTTACCAAGTTAGGAACCTCGCCCCATGTTCACGTGTCTTTAGCAAGTCAGAAACCTCGCCCTATGTTCACGTGTCTTTACCAAGTCAGAAACCTCGCCCCATTTTCAAGTGCTTTTACCAAGACAGAAACCTCGCCCCATGTTCACATGTCTTTACCAAGTCAGACACCTCGCCCCATGATCACGTGTCTTTACCAAGTCAGAAACCTCGCCCCATGTTCCAGTGTCTTTACCAAGTCAGAAACCTATCTCCTTGTGCAAGTGTCTTTACCAAGTCAGAAACCTTTGTATTTACCCAGTCAGAAACCTCGCCCCATGTTCACGTGTCTTTACCAAGTAAAAAAACTCGCCCCATGTTCACATGTCTTTACTAAGTAAGAAAACTCGCTCCATGTTCACGTAGCTTTACCAAACCAGAAACATCGTCAATGGTTGTCTTTTGTTATATCTTAATGTTATTATTATTTTGATAATTTGGTAATGCTGGCAGATCGTTGATTGCCTCTGTTATATTGATTTACAATTCTTTTAGACTCGGGGATATAGAGCTTTGTGTGTTGTAAAATAGATTCAGGCGATATAGAGCTTTGTGTGTTATAAAATAGACTCAGGCGATATAGAGCTTTGTGTGTTGTATAATAGACTCAGGCGATATAGAGCTTTGTGTGTTGTAAAATAGACTCGGGCGATATAGAGCTTTTTGTGTTGTAAAATAGACTCAGGCGATATCGAGCTTTGTTTGTTGTAAAATAGACTCGGGCGATATAGAGTTTTGTGTGTTGTAAAATAGACTCAGGCGATATAGAGCTTTGTGTGTTGTAAAATAGACTCGGGCGATATAGAGCTTTGTGTGTTGTAAAATACCAGTCTATTGTTATTGACCTCTAGCTGTATTTTGGTTTTTAGTTGGATTTGGAATGTAGTCTAAGTCACACGAACACCACATCTCCTTTGGTCATATTTTGTAAAATCATATGATGGTCTCTTCAATTGTAGGTAATATAATCAAAGTACTGAAGTACTGACCATCGGATGACCGCAGGTTCTTGTGGATGGTCAAAAGCACATGTCACAGAAATAGATCACATCTCTATACCTAAAACTGAAGTTAATTTACAGAGATATATTTTTTTCTGATACAAGTTCGTGCATGGATGATGAATAAATGACAGGAAATTCAACCGCACCGTAATAACTATTATATTGTAGTGAAACAAATCAGTATACCTGGGACTATTATACTAATATAATAATAGTCCCAGAGTATACACTGGTTTGTTGTTATATATTATATTAATATTTCGGTTGCATGTATATATAATTTTCATCTATTTGTATATCATTCTATTCTACTATTCTAATTATAGTGCAGTGCAAGTGCATGGTGGACACTCTTCTGTAAAAAAATCGATTTTTCTAAAAGATTGGATATGAGAAGCCATTCATATTTTCCCGCAAAACAATAACAGAGTTATCGGTCCTTGCCGGGAGTGTCGCAAAACGTTCTTGAGATATTCTTCCGTAAGCTTTAACACAATTTTTCGGTACGTGTGCATATATATCATCAATGATTTTTTACTTTATATATAACTAACGACAACACATTTTCATATTATTAATTTGTGTTTTAATAAAAATATTTATAGGAGTATCCATTGAAAAAATGAATTTGAAACAAGCGATAAGTAATGTTATTTTGCACTAGATAATGACCGCGGATCTATAATTTTTATAGATCGGTTGAAAACCCAAAACTAATTTGCATAATGGAAATTTAGGCGATAGCAATACATCGAAATGACCTCACGGTCATCGCGATGTAATAATATATCACATGTCGTTTTCGTGTTTAATTTTGTTTCACATGGGTTTTGTTTGCGATGATTTTTTTTTACAAAATGCATCTTTAAACTAAAAATATATTCCTTTAATATAAATCCGACAATAAGAAATGCAGAAGGTAAAATAAACTCAATAAATTTCAAACATAAATTTAACCCAGAGAGCTAAAATCATATATTGGGTTTTAAAAAAGATTTTGTAAATTTCGCTTTAAAGATAAATTAAATATTCTGACTACTAAAGTAATTAATCAATTACCTGTCACATATGTATGTCCATTTGCTTGTTGCCAAAACTATACCGCATGTTGCCAAAACTATACCGCATGTTGCCAAAACTATACCGCAAAATAAGAGGGCAGGTGTTTCTGCAAAAACACGTCTGACATAACGCAATTTTACACATTTATTTGACACATTCAAAATTACTGTCTGTCTTTTAATTCGTTCTTTCACACGTCTTTATAAGATCAAGGCGTCAAAACGTTAGATCAACGTATCCATATCAATTGCGGAACAACATCTGTTCCATAAACCAGATAATTTAGATATTTAGTTCGGCCGTCAAAGTCGTCATTTGATATTTTTACCCCTGTATACCAAAAATACGATAAATTTGCTTTTAGTTTCAACTGCTCGTGGACGCTACAAACCTTAATAACACAATCCAGAGCTTCATAGTTAAAAACATAACGCCACAAGAACAGGCCAGTGAAATACTATTTATAGCGCAATCGCTCTTATGCGAGCCAAGATTTGATTAAAAAAGCACCGATGTTTGCCAAAGTTTGTCATATATAGTTTTTTCAAACTTTTTATGACAACTAAACGGAGCTTCTGTGTGACACTTTGTGAGAATTCGTGTGTTTTGAATAGATTTTCATGAAAACGTAACGTCGACCAATGAACCGCAAAAATTAGGTCAATGATAGATCTAGACGAACCCTGACAGACGGAAATGTACACCGTACAATTATTTTGTATATCAAATATGCGTGGCACTTTTCTTCATCTCGAGAAAATGACCTTATAAAGATAAAATTAAATGTTGGTCAATATAGTATCACCGAAAAAGTGAGATCAAGACAAGATGAAACCTATCAGAAGTACACTTTACAAGGATATAATACCGTATTCACCAAACACAGATGGACAATTGCCTATAGTATCTGAGAAACTGACCTAATCAATAAAAAAAAAACTTAACGTTGATCGTTGAATCATGAAATGACGTAAATTTCAGGTTTGCCGTGTCTAACGGCACAGCAAGATAAGCATAGCTATGTCTCGTATTCTGCAACATTCTGTTGTATCATGAAAACGTTAACTTTATTGAGTGAACGAATTGAAAAAGATGTCAAGGATGAGACGATAACAAGACAAAAATTTGTGACCAAAAGACATCTGTATTTAAAAGAGTTTTCCGACCTCCATTAATCTATTAATACAAAGCAACTATCTCTGTACACGAGGAGTGCCAATATGAGAATGAGCTGCTTACTCATTAGGCAGAAAGGAGCGCCTTCGTTTATTCTTAGCTTTTTTTACCAGTTCACGATGACTCTGTGTTGCATTTTATTTTTAAATTTCTGAATTGTTTCTATTGATCTTGGTCTTATCGATCCTTTGTCTTGAAAATTTTCTTTTGTTTTTCTAACTTTCACAACCAATGTTTTTGTGTTTGTGATAGGGTTTGTATGTACCGACGGTTTATGCATTTTGTTATGTCTTATGGTTAGCGGTATCTACAAATCCGTTGTGATATGCATGAAGGCTTACCACCGACTATAAATCATAAATCTTGTTTCTCGTTTAAATTGATTTAAATTTGTCATTTCGGAGTTTTTCATAGCTTGTTATGCGGTATGTGTTCGGCTCATTATCGAATGCCGTACGGTGACCTACAGTTGCTACCTTTCTACGTCATTTGGTCTCTTGTAGAGAGTTGTCTCATTGGCAATCATATCGCATCTTCTTATTTTTATATAACTTATCAAATAACAATATAAGAAACTAGTACTACTAAAGGGTGTTTTTAACTACCTTGACTGGCTGTTAAGCCCTCACACGGTCGGCTCAGTGCCCGAGGGCGTTTGGTGAGCATTAGAATGTTGTTGTTGTCGTAAAGTTGGAAGAAGGTGGCCATTTTGGTTTTGCGTGGATCGATTTGGTTTGTTGACTATTTTGGTTTGGTTTGAAGTATATTGCCTTCACAACGGTTGTTTCGCAACATGGCCAGGTTGATCAGCTGGGCAGCCCACTAGCCATGTCGATGTTTTACTGGTGGATGAGTCGTGGAAACAGTAATAAATGTCTACAGAAAGCCTGTTTAGGATCAGTGTGGTAGCTCTATATCACGTATAACTAGGCTTAGGTTGGGTACTACCACGGTGGAAAACTGGTCAATTACCCAACACCACGGATACTAGTGACCAGGAATGCCAATCCTTTTTAGCATCTGACTTCATCCGTGATGTGGGTTCGGTTTGTTTTGCTCAAGCTTAAGTTCTCAGTTAATTGTTTTGTACAATTTTGTTTGTCCTTGACCATTGGATGTTCTATTTCTTTTCGACTTCTCAGTTTTACTACCCCCTTAGTAGCTTTTCACCTTAATAAATCGTTTTGAAAAAGTCTTTTAAAAATTCCACTGTCTTTATGGAATTCGTGTATCAATGGACGTATACAAAAAACTTATTTTTAATATCAGAAAGCAAAATATATTACTTCTTCAATGCTCGTTGGCAGCTTTCCACAATAACCTAAGGATTTTACATAATTGATAGCCTTATAGGGTTAATTTAAGAAGTAAAATATCGATTAATAGACCTGTTACATGTTGTATTCACTTTGATTAGAATTGTGTATCAATATATTATATGATTAAAGGTTAATGGTATGTCATGAGGAAAACACATAAGAATATTCATAAATAAAAATAATAATCATAATTCAAGCAAAAGAAAAGAAAATGTATGAGGATATCATAAGAGGCAAAACACGATTTTGATTAAATGATTTATACATTCTCTTAGTTCTTTCAAAGCAATCTTGATAGCATTCTACATCTATTTGAAATTAAACAACACAAGTTTAATGAACCATATAAATAGTTATATACGATCATAAAGTTCTCCTTGTTCCCACCTTTTAATTCTATTTAAACAAGTTAGTTAAGTGAAATTTAACTGAAAATGACACAAAAGTTGATCATTAGTTCTAAGAAACGAGCTTGGACCTTGAACTTTAATTACATAAATAGAGCGCAAAATATAGGTACGAATGACCTAATTTCGCCGAAAGTTGCTAAACTCTCGAAAGTCAAGCTGCATCCTTACACCAAGTTAATTGATTGTAGGTCTTTCACTATCTAAATCATTAATACAAATATAAGAAATAAAATAAGTCAATGAAGCGTAAAATCTAGGTCAGAGTGACCTACTTTATGATTAACACTTTTACTACCCTAGACCTATCATATGAGTATTTGTTACTTCGGTTTTGAGATCTGAACCCTGACGTACAACTTAATAAAAGTCAACATGAGTGAAATAAATATGGGAATTTTATACTCCCCAAGATACATCATTATCTGATATAGTATGTCTCTTACTTTCTAATATTTGATTCGGACGCAAGACCATCAAATTCAATGTGGCGTAAAATATAAGTCAAAGTGATCTACTTTTTCGGTATGCTACTTTGCTCCCCAAGACGCATCCTTACACATATTTTTAGGATTATAAGTAACTTAGTATCTGAGATAGGAACTCGGACATTAAACTCGATATTAAAACTTACGAAAGACACTGAACTATGAAATGTATGGCATGTTGTTATTATCTTATAACACATGGTCAGTTTCTCCAAGACAAGTATACATTTTTGTTTAGGAACCAGCTATAGCCCACCTCCGGGGCGGTATTTTCTCGCTGCGTTGAAGACCCATTGGTGGCCTTGGGCTGATTTCTTCTCTTTGGTCGGGTAGTTGTCTCTTTTACATATTTCCCGTTTCCATTCTCAATTCTATGTATGCTTTTTCGTTTCTTCGAAATGACTTCGAACGCGGACTTATAATAGTCCCCTTGAACTTGGTTACGGCAAACAAACAAAAAAACATCAAACAAAATAAAACAAAATAAAACAAAAGACTACTATCATGGTTAAATATGCATGAATGTTTTATGCAGCATAGTTAAGCCAAACAATTCAAAGGCCACGCAGTAAATCTAGCAACACAGAACTTCAAACCTTTGATATGCAAGATTACCTGTCAATGTGTTCGTGCCAGATCGCTTCTCTCCCTTTTCTGCCATTAAATATTTATTTTATAGAAACTGTTTCAATATGTTGATAATCTACGAAAATCCAAAACTAAATTGTGTTTTGTGTCATTAATTTACATGTGTAAGACAAATTTTACCATAATAATGTTTAGACATTGACAAAAACATGTTCTTTTTAACTAAAAACGAAAGAAAGAAAAAACCGAGAGAAATTGAGAAAGAAACTATCGGAAACCTATGATTATGTATATCGACTGTTTTTACTACTTAACTTCGATTTCCAAGGGAATCAATAAAGAAGACTATATTTCATATAGCGTTGATTATATGTGGAGGGTGTATATTGAGTAAACAGAATAGAGAAATAATAATAAGTCTAAAATTAAGAACAGTGAGAAATGGACCAACAAATAAAGAATAACGAATAAGAGTGTGCTAAAATATCAAAATATAGAGAATAATGGGCAACACACATAAAGAATGGAGAAAAAACAGCCTAAAAAATAAAGAACACAGAAATAATGACCCACCATCCAGACCCTCATACGTATTAGTCTACGGTATTATCTAATTGTTACGGTAGCATGTTCTATTATTAAGATATAATTACATGTAATTAAATTTAATCTATAGTCTTATTGGATTTAATCAAAAACGGATTTCGTAGAAGCTGAAATATGTTTTGAAGTATAACGGTAGACTGAGCTCTTCAAATATCAAACTTATAAATGCTTGCGTTGCATTTTGATTATATAGATTTAAATGTTAATAAAAATCGATTTATAATTCAAGGTCACCGATGACGTTAGCTTTCAGTCTTCATATAGATTTGCAGAAAGAAACATACCATATAATAGACATATCGAATATTAATCTTTCGGTGATATTTGTGCAGTTTTTATTTTGTTTGACATGTATTTTAATTATTTGTGTTTTAGAATGAAAGAAGTGTTCTCTCTAAATATCTGATTTTCTTAAAATATCTCTCTTTGTAATGCATTTATGTAACAAGTGTACACTGTGGTGTAGCTTGAACCTTATTCCTAGTAAGCAAACTATGTATAATGCTTTGCAGTCATCCACTCAGCGTAATTTAAAAAAAAACGGCTTCGCAAAAGAGTTTTTAACATTTATTGGGGTTACGACCATTTGATTTTCTGGAGGGTGTAGGGGGATTTTGAAAATGAAAAGCATGGCCAAGTAAGAACTGAAAATGAATGAGATTGCACAAGACAGGATGAAAATGAATATTCTGCAGCATTAAATGCAGAATAGTTGAAGAAAGAAATGTGTACATAAGGAAAATATTTGTTGGTGCGGCAAAGACGCAGAAAAAAATAAGCATGCGTAACAACAGATGAAAATAAATGATCAATCCAGGAAAATCTGCCTGCCCCTCCCATCCCTCAGAATATCAAATGGTCGTTCTCTAAATGCAAAAAGTCGAATTTCATTCAGGTTTGATTTCTAGATTGTTTGCCTAACGCCAATGACAAATAGAAAATGCATATTCAGGACAAGGGCAAGTCATTTTAATAAACCAAAAGGTTCTTCAAAGTGTGTCGATGATAATGAGAGCAAGAATTTCGATTGCCACCTTGAAATTGAAAGGACGTCCGACCGGACATGGCTGCGTAATTATACATCCCGCACAGATAAACGGACGTCAATTTTAAGCCTGGTTTTATACTGCAATATGGAAGAAGGGATGACCATATTCAATTTTGTTTATTCAGAACGAAAACAAATCAACAAAATATCATGCAAGTAGGTGTACGCAAAATGGGTTTACCGAAATGAAGGGCGGCAATTTAGACTTCATTTGGAAAATAGCGTATGTTGAAAAGTGTTGGTATAGAATACGTACCGGTACATCCCTAAACGCCAAAACGAACGTCTCTTACTTTCGGCATAGACTGTACTGTCGCACGGGAGAAATCGAAGTGACCATATTTCTATAACCCCAATAAACCCTATGGGTCATTGCTGGTTAAAATTTCAATACCCGGTATTTGACTTAAGTCAGGTCCTGATTAAATTCGGTTATATTAATGTTTACGATCAACCATATCTTAGAAGCATTGTCAAGATGTATTGATATATTATAACTAGATAAACTACTTAGTCTGCTTTATATGAACAAAGGTACATGACGGTGCTACGAGGAGCACAGTTCGTTCCCATTGGAATACTAAGTGTCTGCAAAAACCACGTCCACTAATACAAATATATTGGCAATAAAAAAGTTAGCATCGCATCAGTTTCACAGTCCTGACCACTTGTTTGAATCAGAGTTTAGTTAAAGGTATAAATTGTCCGTTATCAAAACAAGATATTTGTATTTGGTATTTATTATGAAAGCAAGTTGGACTAATAAGTCTTCAAGTAAATAATAAACAACGCGTGTGTAAAGGTAGAAAAGTCAAATGATGTAACTTCTTCTTTCTTAAGTATGGAATAAATATTGTACATTTTATTTCTCTTTCTCTTTCTCTTTTTGTTTTATTGGTTAAACATTTGGTGAGCCTCACTGCCTCAAGCGAAGCTACGCCACTTCTTGCAATGTATATATGTGAGCATGGTTTATATGTGAACATGGTGTATCTTTACTTTACACTTAAAACTGATTCACCAAATAAGTTTAGAAAAAAACAAAACATTGAAATAAAACGTAGTTTACTGACAAAATTGATAAGACCCAAAACAAAAAAGAACCAAAATCTTTTTCATGTAGATTATGGTCTTTTGGGGTAAACTTGTTTGGATAGCCTCACATGTCTTATTTTTCGACTATTATTGAAAGGTTTGTATCTAAAATTCTCTCTTGAAATTTGTTGTTTTGCTTTGCCACGTGCACTGAAAATGTCTCTTACGAAATATATTCTAAATTTTCCAAATTTGAAGCTTCTTACCTTTGTCGCCAATTAATGTTCAATTGTATCCATTATGAATGCACCACTGTCTTCTTTCCCATGGAATATAAATGTTTTTGTCGTGTTATATATATTTTTCGCATTTTGATAATAGATCTTCTTTGTGTACAAAAATAGATTTAAATGTCTTCATGTAAACAAAAACAGCTGATCGATCATAAGTATATTTAAAAATGAAAAATCCTTTCAAATTTCCCGTCTTATAAGTAATATGCGTTATATACAACAGAAAGTCTCTGACTAATTCCTTTGTAAGCAATGTCCACTTTATTAGCTCACTGATATAGACAAAGCAATCTGAATCACGTGGATTGGAAGCTCACAACGATTTACCTTCAAAACTGACAAACTTTTTCAATAAATTAATCATATGACCTCAAAAGTGAAAAATAATTTGGAGAAATTCCAAAATCAGACGCTGATTTTTCTTTGTGTACATATTTGGAACGTTAATTTTTACTTGGTTAAAACGGAAAACACATGACAGGAACAAAGCCGCAATCAATAAGGCTTTCTAAATTAGTATCACAGGTAGATCTGATCTGCATGAATATAACTTTGCATTTCCCAATTTGCAATTGAAATCGATAATAAGTGAATAGTTTAAATATATATATACGTATGTTGTCAGAAGTTAACTGTTTGAACCTTGGCCATGAAAATCACAGGTTGTGTCATTATCTAACTACGTTTAAAGTGAAAAATGTTTCAATTTCAAGAGAACTCTGAAGCACTTTATGCAGGGGGACGATCGATTACCAATGATCTTAAGCTCTCAGGCATTCGAAGAAATAAGATACAATGCATACAATGTATTGAGCGAGAATTTTTACAGATGCAATCAAGAAATACTTGCTTTTTTATAGAGTAACAAATTCGCCTATTTCTTTTAGCATCCCCCAAAAACTCTCTTGATCATATGCATGAGAAAACAAACAGAAAAAGAATCTGCATTTTGAAGAGATCAGTGAAATGTCACTCGACGGCTTCCGGAAAGTTCGGTTTTTAATGTTTTTTTAAACACTGTTGACAAAAAGTATTGATTTAAATACCAATTTTGTGCATTATCATCGTTGAATAATTTACAACTTCCGTCCAATATCTAAAAATCGATTGAGATAAATTGATATAGATTATCACGAATTAAAATGCTTGTTCCTGGAAATCAATCATTTCCAGAATTCATGCCGTTTTTAAAGTGTCTTATAAGCAATCATAAACAATGCAATTACAAGTACTGCTTTGTAGTAAATTAAGCTTTAGAACGAAGTAAAAAAAGGAACCAAATCAACCTGTCAAACCAAGAAACCAGAACTTATGGGAACAAAATGATTATCCTCCGAATCAGTAGAAAATAAGAGCTAAATAGTCGGAATCTTGAAATGTAAAATATTTACAAAAAGAAGTCGAAAAACTAGGAAACATTTCCGCATTAAAACAAGCAAGAAAAACTTAAGAATATCTGCAATTTTCTAGTATTAGACTCCCATAAGGCTGGTTGATAGTTGTTTTTTACTCGACAGCTTTAAAAGACAATATCGAACATTTAAAAATGAAATAATATGAACGCACATGAAAGGGTGGGATGGGGCATAAAAGTGGAACGATTTTAATGCCACATGAAACATAGAGAATTGGGTAGGGTTGACTGAACATTTTAGCCTCAGCATGCGTTTCCAGTAAGCCTTCTCTTAACGAATACGCTCTTTGAATTCCGCACAGTCGTATAGATACCCCCTTGAAAAAAGGTGTGTTGGTAGTTCCTCACAGTGATCAGAGAAACTGGGGTACAATTGCTATACTCCGTGTCTACCTATAATAGTAGTTAATAAGTAGCTTTATACCAGTATTTATTCCCGAAGGCTTTGTTTTGGTTGTGTTTATTGCTTTTATATATTCTTTAAAAGTGTTCTTATAAAACTTGAAAAGGGTGATTTCTTGACGGAAATACACGTGTATATTTTTCGTAATAAAGATACAGTTCCCTAGTTGTTCTTCTCTTGAAAATCTATTATTAAAAAACAGTGTCTCATCCCTTCAGTATTTTGCCTTAACAATGAACAGCGTATACTTATCGTCTATTTATTTGAATTCAAAATAGGTGGTTTTCTGAATACAAGTATATGTCACGTTTGCCGCACTTCAAATTAGGATTATATGATAGTACCTATAAATGCTCCTAACGGGGTGGATCCTGGATTTCAAATTTATAGGTCTTTTTGCTTTCTTGTGTAAATCATGATCCTTTTCATCTTTTTTGTAGAAAAATTGCAGGTTTTCACAATTTTTGGCATTTTACGCAAATGCTCTCCATGGTTGCGCTCCCTTAAATACGCGCCTGCCAAATTGTTCTTTCAGTAATTTAATACGTCTGAATAATTTTTTTAATATGGAACACAACTGTATTTCTGTTCTTTGACATCTATTTTTTCATGTCATAATTCAATAATAGTTACAAAAGAAGTAGCACTGCACATGTAGATTAAACATAATATCGTAACTATCTATATGTAATATTTAAACGGTAAACATGATTTCAATTTGATTGATTTGAATTTTATCTATATGTTTTAAGTTGGTTTGAATTAAAATTGATAGACCAGAAATATGTCAAACTGTGGAAACGTTATTCAAGTGAAGTAAACACCAGGTGAGGTCGTTAGGTTCTTTCTTTGTAAACTATTAAAAATTCTGATATTTATTCAACGTGTTGGGTAGATTTGGGTACCATAAGATTATTTGCGTGTTCAATGCTGGCAAAGTTTCATCTTTGTTGAAAATTAGCTAATATCCACAATTATATTGGACAGGTAATACAAACTTTCTTTGTGACTGTTTCATACAGATAATGTACTTAAGAGAGTATTACAATATTAAATATCTAAATGTAAACAAAACGAAAGAAAAGCAATCTACCTGATCCCTTATTATAATTAAGGTATAACGTCGTCTCTATATGTAATGAGTCATAGAAGAACAGATCATAGTATGCGTATATTTATAGATGCCAAAAAAATACCTAGACTTTCCGGTTAGATTTCGACTTAAAAAATCTTTTATTGCATTTTCACTACTAATTAACTTATAACTACTACTTGTCACTTTATAGGACATTCCATATTCATATATGTCCTAGATTTGAACCTATTGGAACTACGTACTCTAGTATGTATACCAACAGATATTTCTCTTTTAACACTGAAAACAAGGACGTATAACTAACATTATATACTTCCTTGCTGAAAAGAAGAAATCCAGAACAAACGGCGGTTCTATGCATTGTAAAAAATATATATGACTTAGAATGTCGTTTGATATATATCTTCATAAATTTCGTTTAGTATATTTCTAAGGTTACTTTTCGCCTTGAGAAAGTTATGTTCCTGCCAGTAAGGTCATACCAAAGACTGATAATTCCATTATTAAAATAAATTGATATCAACTGCCTCTGCCCTGAACATGCGGCATTTTGGAGTAAGAGCAGACTGGTCAGCTCCAAGTTCAAATTGTGACCGAGGTAAGTCCTCCTGAACAAGAATTTTACCTTGTGACTGCTCAGAGATATATTTCTCTGGTGAGCTATAAGGTTTACTATGATACCGGTAAGGAATTATATATCTGATATACAATTCCTTGATACCGGCCAAGAGTATCAGTACTAATATTGCATATACTTTAGAAAATGTTTTGGTTCTGACATTAAACAGCAATGTATGCAGCCGTCGGCTTGGCGTTAAACAGTACTAGTAATACATTCATGTGCAAGCAAAATTATAAACATCTATTCATTTATCGTCTGTTTTTGGGGATAGCTTTCTTATTCAAAATATTTCTTCATGCGCGGTGCAGAAAATAAAATTTTAAAAAATGGATTCATGGGAATTCCCACTTGAAAATGTGCTTTCCAGGCTGCTTTTCGACGATATTAAAAAAAAAATATGCTGGAATCCCCTCTGGATCCAGATAACTGTTATGCTTTAAGTGAATTCCAGGTGGACTGATGAATACGATGATACATCTGGTCCACAACTTTATAATACGTCCTTAATACATATACAAATTCGTAAAGGGTTCTGCCGAACTATGTGTCCCTTCTGCAATTGCTGTGGTTAGAGTAATGTAATGTGTAATGTTGACTGCCAGTAACTAAGGTCATGTATCTGTTAAATACAGAAAATGAAAAAAATCTTGATACTCTCTTTTGATTATTAAAGATTCATAAAATTCCATGAATGTTTGACAAACTATTGATGCTCAAACAAACTAAAACCAGAAATGACAGAATAAAGGATTGCTTTCTGGCTTCCGTGACAAAATGTTGCAGGATTGACAAAAATCAGTGTTTATTGTTTAATAATTGTCCACTTTTTCTGCAACTGCACTTTACAACTAATTATATATATATTCAGTCATATCACACTTCGTAGATATTTTGTATGTAATTCGGTGAAAAACAAATTATGTTTTTGTGTGCTAAAACAGCATCCCCATTATCCTAAGAACATGATTACAATAAATCATATGTGGAAAATCATCTTACTTTTTATCGTAACATACATTGTATACCAATTTTGATGAAGTTTGTTCCAGTGGTTTCATGTACATGTATCGCTTTGACAAGGCCTTGATTTTGACCATTGACCTCAGTTAACCTTTGTCTTCTGACCTGAATAACAAACTTGATATGCTTGATGATTGTCTATAAAAAGTTTAATGACATTGCCTTTCTGTATTGTGGTGATAAGGCAATAATTCAGAAATCAGACCTCTGTTTGGCTGTCACGTCAGACCTTGAAAATCAATGGGATTCAACCTCTTTTCATCTTGAATATGACTACAAAGTTTGATGAAAGAGGAAAGGCCAATTTCCTCTTCATTTATTTTACACTAGAACCATTTTAAGTTAAGTATTTCAATCTTTTCTAAAAGTGACAAGATCACAGCTTTATGTGTGTACTTTATGTTGTTACAACAGAAAGAAGTAGTTCTTAACTTGTTACCAAATTGAAATGCTTGAAAATGGCTAGAAGATTGCAATTTTGAGAGACCTTGGCAAATATCGAGTATCTATAAAAAAAAAGAATTAAGACATTCTTATCCAAAATTAAAATTCTTTCAAAAATCAAGCTATGTATTGTCTTTAAGATACAAATTCATTCTTTTTGGTTAAGTAAGTTTAAAAACAATGAAAAATTTGCAATATTGTAAAAACAACTGTCTTTCACAGCAAGGTTTAGTGCTGAATAGCTATTTGATTTCATAGCTATGTAGCTATGTATAAATGTATAAAATTATCAATTTTTTTTAAAAGTATAATCATTTTGACTCTCTGATATTACATTTTCGCTAGGTTTCATCAACTTTTAAATATTGACCTCCAGAGTAAAACAAGTCCAGAGAAAATTTGCCATCATCCCTCTTTGCTCTTACAATCTAGCTTCTATTGCCTGGACAGGTTTTTTCATGTGACGCAGAAAATGGTATCATACTTTTTTTTAATACTTCCCAGTTGATTCTGCTGCTGTTGGGCTATTAGTCCCAAATGTACCATAGGCCCAGTATTCAGTGATTCTGTATTGACATTTGTATTGCAGTTGCATATTAAATATTACTGACCTTTCTGAATTTGTTCTTATTTAAATCATAAACTTTTCTTGTAAAAGACGGTAGACAATACAGAATAAAATACGATAAGAGGGAAATAAAAAAATTGCAATCCACAGAAGAATATATAAAGGCAACAAGACAGGTGTGCTAAAGGACTGAAAGGAGTATGTAATTTTGTGTATTTTGAGAGAGTTGATTAAATTCACTAATTTTGAAGTTTCAAAAGTCTATAAAGGCTTTTATTAATTCACCTCTTTGATCTGTAACTTCTCTTAACATGACTATTTCCCACAAAATAAGATCTATATCTAAATCTAATGACATATTCCAAATCAATAAGAAATAATGCATTGTTAAATTAATAAAATAATGAGCTTGTCGATGAATAAAGTTCGATAACTCCTCAATGTCATAACAGAAATTTATAAAAAACTAAAGGGAGACCAAAGTTTCATGAAAACTGCTCAAAGCACTTTTGAGTAATTGTCCGAAAACTGGAAAATCCCCCCTTTTTTATGAATAAAATCCCATAACTCTGAAAAACGTAAAATCTAAAATTATAAATGGAGCTTTGTCTATAGATATAAACAATTCACCAAAGTTTCATGAAAACTGCTCAAAGCATTTTTGAGATATTGTCTGAAAACTGGAAAATCCCCCTTTTTTAATGAATAAATGGAGAATGTGTCCATGGGACACAGATGAAGCCTCTGCTTGCACATAACGTTATAAAGAGACATAACTCAAGAACGGTAAAAGTGACGCTACCCAAATTCAAACTTTATCTGAGTTTTGTAGTAATAAGCATTGCTTATAATTTCATAACATTTAGTTGAGGCAAACTTAAGTTAGAGAATGGAAACGAAAAAATTCAGCAATTTTTCCATTTGTAAAGGAGCATATCTCTAGAATGGTAAAAGTGACACCACTGAAATTCAAACTTGATCTGTGTTTTGTGGTAATAAACATTGTGTATAAGTTTCATAACATTTGGTTGAGGCAAACTTAAGTTAGAGAACGGAAACGAAAAATTCTGTAATTTTTCCATTTGTAAAGGGCATACCTCTAGAACGGTAAAAGTGACGCCACCAAAATTCAAACTTGATCTGTGTTTTGTGGTAATAAGCATTGTGTATAAGTTTCACAACATTTGGTTGAGGCAAACTAAAGTTCAAGAAAGGAACAATTTCAGGAGGTATAGAGGTACAGACGGACAAGGGTAAAACTTAATACCCCCTCCGCTACGATGGAGGCATAATAAAACCCCATAACTCGGAAATGTAAAATCTAAAATTTATAAAAATTTAAAGGGAGCTTACATCAATAGATATAAATATTTCACCAAAGTTTCATGCAAATTGGTCAAAGCTTTTTACAGTTATTGTCCGACTTGTTGACCAAGGAAGGAGGGACAAACGGACAGACAGATGGACAGTACGTCCTGTATAAAAAGACTCAAACATGTATTGAAACATCTTATATCATGACTGTGTCATGTATGTGTACTAAACTAGGTCAGTTTTTTTTAACAGTTATGACAAAGTGTGAGAGAACAGACTAATGTACAAACTGACAGAACAAAGAGTAAGGTATTATGTATAATCAATTATGCTATGCCAATGAAGAATTAATAATAAGATATTTGAATCTAATGACACTTGTTATTTTTTTTATTACAGAATTATTAAAATTATGACACATAATTTAAAATAAATGGCAGTGTATCAAGAATCACAACATTTAAAACATTTTAAATAATATAAAAAGAACACATACATGAACTGGTCATTTTAATATATCATAATGCAAACTGGTCAATTTACCATGATTTTCTACATACATTCATCATTCAATTCAATTAAATTCTTCATACTATGATCGATGCAATTGTATTCGGTTAATTTTTTGTACTCCTAATTAATTTTATATGATATCACAAAGTACAGAATTAATGGGAGGATAGATATGACAGTAACTCTTTCTATTTCTTTTTTTCTCCACACTTACTTTTCGGTCTTTCATCAAAAGTTACTGATGAACATTATAGTTAGCACTAAAATGTTTTGAAAATCATCTGACATTTTGCTTTTAGGTCAAACTGATATAAAAAACTTATTTAGAAACTATTATATATTATTTCAATATATGTTATATAAAGGAAACAGTAAAATAAATTTCTCATATTTTGTGTCTTAATAGAGAATCATAGTGCTTTGTTTTACTTCATTTACAACCTTGTTTGGGTTCAACTGTTAGCCAATGTAGTTTAATATGATATTCAGATTATTGCAAGAACCTCCTCTTTATACCTGGCTCAATATTTGACATACAGGAAATCGGTTTGAGGGTATTTGCATACCACTTTGACCTTCCTGAAGACCTTGAACATTTGAACTTAATTTGTTTTTTCTTTTAGTTTCAAATACATTTAAATCCAATCCAAAGAATGGGAGATAACTCAAAAAGTTTTTAAATGCAGAAGTAAACAATAATTATCTCCTTTCCATTTGAAGGTTTTAGTATAAAGACATTGGCCATATTCTCCAAGATGCATCTGCACCCTGTTTATGATTGAACTGTTAAATGGGTTGAAACAACAGATACCTCAAAACTGGCCATGAGTATACACAGGGATTTGCACAGTGATTGTCCAACATACCCTTGAAGAAGCAAACTAATGATTGAACACTTATGGCCTTAAAGGGGGAAAAAATCACATTGCTCATTTTTTTTAAAGAAAATCTACTGACCTGAATGTAAAACCGTAAATTTGATGAACTGTATTTCTAAGAAAAGCATTTATTAACTTAATTTGATACTTCTTTCATGTGTTTATCAAATTTATAAATGATTGTTATGATAAATATAAATACCTTCAAACAAGCTATTCAAACAATGCCCTGATGTTACCAGTATAAACCAGTACATAATAGTATTAGTGGGGTTATGGCAGATATCAATTCCAAAATACATAACAGAATCTACTGTAGAAAAAAACATATCCTTCATGAAAAATACAACAATACAATATGACCTTTGACTTAAAATCATCCATGCTAATGCATTCTTAATAATGTCTTTGTCTGGGTTTTAATTCTTTGGTTTTCCTCTGAAAAACTTGCTGTTATTGGGATTTCCTGGATGTCATTTTTCTTTGCCTACTTCTACAATATAAAAATTATATAAATCAAATATTTCATTGGACAATTTGTTTAATTCTAACTATGTAAATAAAACATCTTAATATACAAATATTGTTGAATCAACTTTCCTGCACTTAAAATTTTTTGAAAAACATTCTGAGCTCCAATTTTTGCACAAGAAATTAGATCGGTTAGTTTCAATTTATATGGAAGATGTGCTTTACTTCATATATATATATACAATCTACAAGGAGGATGTGTATCTCTTTCACAATTATCTTTTTAATACTTTAAAATTCACATTTATGTTCTAATCAAAATGATAAACAATATGTTTTGCACATGGGGTTATTGGCAATTCAAAATTAGATAAGACAAATGTTATTGCCACTATTGATTTCCACCATAACAGTATTCATGCATTTTACTGTTAAAGTGTCCATTTTGTAACAAAATGGCAGTTATGACACAGGTACTGTATCATTGTGACTTCATAACTGAAATTTATGTTATGAAGTGGCAAGATTATATTTTTGTTTTCATTTGGTTGTAAGTACATAAATTGTAAAAAATAACATTCTTTGTAAAACAGTCAAGCCATTATTGTTGATTGATATCAGGTATAATAGATGTTCATTAACTTTTGAAACAATCATTTTGATCATTTTGAACACTTACCTGGCTTCAGTTCTAGATGAAGTATATTCAAACCACATGACATGAGGAATTAATGTAGAATCTCGTAACATAAAAAATTCTCCAACAGGACTGAAAGTAAGATCAGAATATTTTAGCATGTTGCACTATAAAATATATATCAGGCTAGTTAAGATAGTTTTGGTTGGTCTGGCCTACATGCTACATGTATATGGAACATAAACAACTTTAAGTTTTTATTTGGACCTAATCATGGTGAAATATCAGGTGAACAGGAATAATTGGATGAAGCATAAAGATCTTTCGATTTTCTGTTTAGAATATGAGGAATAAAACCCATGTATGAATCTAACTTAAAATAACTGATTACCTTTTGTTTAAATATTTGGAAATGTTAGAAAGATTAATAAGTTTTACCATATGAGAAAGGAACTTGAAAAGATTTTTTTCTTATCCTTAGACTTCAAATTTATCTAATCAATAATAACAATATATATTTGAATGATTTTGAAAAGTCTTATCAGAGGATTTCTGCTTTATCAAGCCATTTTATAAAATTTCAATTTGTTAAAGAATTGTTGTCTTCCAAACAAACTTGAATAACAAACACCTGTCCTGAATGTCAATATTTTCTGCTGTAAAATTGCTTAAATTATGCCAGCTGTCAGCAAGTAGTTGAATGCAATGCTGTCTGTGCCTTAGTTATTTACCCTTATATATTGAAAAAAATAATGATTTTTTAATCCGTACTTTTTGTTCAATGCATATTCAAAAAGATAAATATGGTTTATAACTCTAAGGGCTATTCAGTCTCAATATATCACACCTCATAAGAATTGATAATGTTGGGTATAACACTAATGCTAGAAACACTGTATACAACTAGTAATATTTCTTAAGAACAAGCCAACATGATTATCATAATACTATTTGACCTAATTCAATTTTGTGTTGACATAAAATATCCTTGCTGCAGTCATTTCCTATAAATTTACTCTTTATAACATGTTAAACCCATCCAAATCACTTCTTTTTTTACTACCCCTAACAGAGATGACCTTTACAATTTTAGGAATTTATTTTTGTATGTTTGTAATTGATTTGGCCTATTAATTCAAGTGCCTCTGACAAGTAGATGTGTAAGAAATGCATGTCTGCCATACAAATTATAAATCTTTGATAACTTTATTATCACAAGTTACCTAAATAACGAGACTGGTTATTTCATGTATTCTACAACAAGAGTTTTACTACCAGTTTATAATTTTCAACTTTGAATTTATGTCTTTTAAGCATTTACAAACTAAGCAGTTTTTAACTAACACAGTTAAAACCCGAAATTATCTAAAGTAGAATTATCATGTGACTTCTTGAAATCAAGTTATTTACATCGTAAATTCAGAAAAAGTCAAATACAAACTTTTCAGCTGGTAATAATCTGATAATGTAACTTCTTTGAGTATAAATTTCTCCATGTGTTAATTATACATAACTGATTTAATTTTCATCAAAAAGCTGAGATATGTATCAAAATAATCCATGGATTGGAAATACATCAAAAACATGTGTTTTCAAATGTTAATTCATATCTGGAGCTAGAATTTGATAGATTTTTCTTATTTACATGTATATACTTACTGAGCAGCTAAAGTTGGAAATAAAGGAGTTAAAATAATTTGTACAACACCAAACCATACAGCTCCTAGAAATACACCCATTAAAGCACCACAAGATACTTGGAAAAATGTATGATAACCTAAATATACCCTGAAATAAAAAAAACAAATGTTTAATGTAAGAATTAAGGATGGAAGACTTTTAAAATGTTTTCCTTAACATTGCAGTACATTTTGTTATACATGTATGTTGTTTGTCACAAACTTTGTAGTTGAAGGATGTGTTTCTAATGTTTCGACTTTCCCTTAATGTTTTGTATTAAACCGTTTTTGGATTTTACCTACCTATTAAATCATTTTTGACCTGCAGTCCATAAATTTATTATTATTCTTTAAAATTTAAGGATGTTCGCACCTCTTGTTTTTAAACTTTTGTCAGATATTTGGAATCCTCTGGTTTTATCCATGTAGTGCCAGTAAAAATTTTGCTCACTAAGCCCTACTTGTCTTTTCATAATTTTATAAATCTTGTAAAATCCTTGTTATTTTTTCATAGTTTTTGATAGAAAAACAGTGCCAATGTTAATAGTATGAAAAATCTAGAGAGAATCATTTCCTGCCAAATTTTCAACGGCTTACATCTCAAAAACAAGCACACGGACCCTTCATTTTTTTCTGCTTTTTTAGTTCCGTTATTTATATACTATCAATTTATAAGTCTTTTAAAAAGCTTGTTATTTTGAAACAGAGTAGCGAACATCCTTAACCTAAAATACACTTGAGGTAAATATTTTTTATACATCTCTGTCCTTTTTACGTCTGCAACTTGACAAAATTGTATAAAGCTAGTGTGCAACAATATAAAAATTAGGAGATTTTGTATGATTGCCAATGAGACAACTATCCATCAAAGTTCAAATGAAGTAAGTGGATGTAAGCCAAGCTCAATTCATTTTTTAATTTTGTCAAATGCAATTTAGAATATTGTCAGATTTTGAAACCAAAACTTCTAGGGTAGAAATAAGTACATTGTTGATTGAGTGAATGCATACAAAGTTGCCTAGTATAACATCATTAAAATAAAGAAAGAACAGAAATAGCCAAATTCAGATCTTTAATAACTATTTTTCATGCTTATTAACATCCTGTGCAATGTGTCTTAATGCAACATAGAAAGACTTTTGAATGAAGAGATGAGAATCATGAGATATGATTGCCAAATAAAACTCCTATCTAGAAAGACCAAAGGACAAGATTGTAAACATTATATTTCATTGTTAAATAAATTTGAATATAACTAAATATGTATGGCTATGCAGTAATGAAAATTTTGGTCCTTCATTTTTTATGCATCCTGTCAATAAATATATTTTGGCCTTGCACAAGGTCTGCTTTTCTCAGACCATTTATGATGTCTTTAACTAAACTCATTTGATGTGTACTGATTGCAATTTTAGTCTGGGAAAACATGGTTTATCTTATTTAATACAATAGTTGGAAATGACTTTGAACTATCTTTCAGTAAGGGCTATTCCATTAAAAAGGAGGTACTAGGGTCGGAAGGCAAGTTTTAAGTACCCCCATGACCAAGAGGAATCTACCATGTATCTTAACACCAACCAACAGGATGTCTTTTCATGATAATACAAGAACCAACTGGAATATATCTAACTTATTTTTTACTGGCCCTTCAAAATTGAGAAGAATTACCTCTTGGAATTGTAGATATATGTATACTCTATAAAAACATCTACATGTAATATTAACATTTATTAATAATTGATATAGAAAATTACTGTCACATTTCATTGGATTTTGACATGAAAATTTGTGAACTAAAAGTTATTTTGAGTTTCTGTATAAAATATTTCATGCTTTTTCTTTCTTTTCCATATATCTTTTGGTTTTCAATTCTAGTGTTTATATTTCATCATTATAGATGTATTTTGTCACCTGCCTGGAATTATTATTTTTTTTATTGTATTTGATCAGCAAACCCGGAATTACCCTTATCCGACCCCGGAATCTGATCCGGTATTGTAATCGTCTTCATTTCCGGTTTATGGCATCCATTGTTTTTCAATGTTGTTTTTGTCAGTCAAATACGATTTTACTCGTATTTACACATTACTTGTCGGCGATTTTCAGTTAAAGCTAGCGGTTGAACAAAATGAGTATCGCTGTCATGAATAATAAAGATGAAAATAAATTTTGAGATCGTTTGGAAGTTTTAGTCCCAAATTGAAAATTGGGAAAAACGTAGGGTATTTGCCATTGCCAATAGTGGCAATACTGGCAACAGGAATGGGTCTGGTATTTGGACCCTGTGGAATACTAGAAAAATCCCTGGAGGGGTATACAATCTCAATAGTAATATAGCTTAAAAATGACCATACTGATGGTTAAAAAGGTTGGCAAAGTTAATTTTTATTTTCTTTCAAATCGAAGGTCCTTTCAATAGAATTTGACATCGTTCGTTATGTGCTTGTCATCAAAGGGAAGTAACTTTTGCACTTCCGGAACTGGTACCATAGGTAGAATACAACGTTGCGCCTGCCGCTGTGTAAGTCGCGGGAACAGTTTTGTTTTCCAAAATACCACGATATGAGCAGGAGACAAAAACAATCGGTTATATAAGTCCTTGTAAAAACAAATAATAATAAATAACGAAAAATAACACTTGTAATGAAACAGACAGTCACGAAAAATGATTGTCAAAGAAGACCAACAACTAACAATACTTAGTTTCTCTAAACACCAAGGACCACTGGCCATAAACGCTTCAACACATCAACAACCAACGGGATTTTTTATAATTGCCGTCCGACCCTGGTACACTCTTTTTAATGGAATAGCCCTAACTATGAGTACTCTTAAATCTGTACTTTATGTTTTTTCCAATTGATTTTTATAGTTTGTTCTTATGTTGTGCTGATACACCACTTTCACAGGTATGAGGAGGTTTGAGCACTCACAAAAAAGTTTAAGCCTGCCACATTCTTCGTGTGTCTGACCAAAGTCATTAGCCTATCATTCAGTGGTTGTCGTTAGTTGTTGTCTGCCTCTTTTTATTCTTTCTTTTTCATAGCATAAACCAGGCGGTTGGTTTTGTCTTCTGAATTGTGTTACATTTGCAAACAGGAACTTTTTAAGGCTTACTATACAGTATGGGATTTGCTAATTGTTGAAGTCCTTGGTCTCTGATGGATAGTTCTTTAATTGGCAATGATATCGCATCTCTTTATCTTAATTTCTGTTTAAATAGTGAATGCGAATAGTTAAACTTAAATGATAATTATGCCTTAAACGGTATCATCTATAATTGGAACTTACCTGCTATAAAGGACTAAAGAAGATACAAAAAAACAACCTATACTTGTTATGTATTTCCATAAATCATCTACCCAGTTACTATTTCTGTATACTCTGTAACAAAGAACAATAAAACTATTTAAACAATATATTGCAGAAATGACAGTAGCAAACCTTTTTTTAATTGATGATAAAGTAGCAATTGTTCAGTGTTAATTATTCACCATGTTAAAGTCACATATACATATGCAGGTAAAAATGAATGTACAACATAACCTATAAATTTTCACCCCTTAATGATACATATTCTCGCACTTACAAACTGAATTTTTGAAATTCACATCATTCAAGCTGATTATGATACAGATTCTGTGTCCACACTTTGCTTACAAGGATCCAACAACACTTGGTTCTTCCTTCTGTCCTTGTAAATACATTGTATTACATCACCCAATGAAATTTAAGCCTTCAAATTTTTGAAGGTGTGTTTTATAAATACAAAATTTGTGGATCCCAAAAGGTCTTTAAAACGAAAATAGAACAGAGCATTATTAGATCCTTGCAAGCAAAGTATGAAAACAGGGTCCGTATTTCATTGCTGTTTTACTTTCAATGTAGTTTTCTTTGTCAGACCTATTAAGCATAGAATTTCGGCACTCTTAATTTTTTTGTTTACTATTAACATGTACTTTTCCTGTTTCCAGTTAATGACAAACACAACTTTTTAAGTTGATTATGTGTAATTTTGGTTATTTTAACACTTGTGAAGTGATATAGAATCATTTATAAGTAGTTTCATCTTCTTCTTGAAGAATGAAAAAAGGGTTTTCCATAAAATTCCACAAATGGTCATAGAAGACTTGAAATTAAAGAAGTTTCTTTGTACATTTCCATCAAGAGACAAATGTTTTTTTTCCTGAATTCCTGTGAAGAAAAAGGGTGTGTTGATTATGTATAAATATGGATTATAAATCGACAAAACAGTAAATGTTGAAATAAGACCAAACTGTGAAAGCAATATTTTTTCTATCACAGAAACAATTAACATAAAATCTTGAGCTCTACTTTTTTGTAAAGATAATTCAACATTATTAATTTTCAGATGAATAAAGACAAACAGGACTAAAAATAGTGTTAGCAAATATGGAAATTAATAAAATGTCAAATTCTTAGAAAAATCAGTAATGTTCACGATTCTTTGAAATATTTGAAAATCATATCCCTTCAGCAATGGTAAATTTTTGCAGTGTTTTACCATATGAATAAATCTGATATATCATGTTTACCAGCATTTAGGATAACCCTCACCTTATAAATAAAAAGAAAACCATATATGTGGAAAAGAACCAGGCAAACTGTGCATGGCTTGATGGCATTCCATATTCTGTAAATAAAGTCTGTCTGCCTGCAAATATTTGGGAAGATGGTGTAAATAACAGCACAAAATCTGTATTCATTGAACAATATAAGATATTTAAGTACATAGAGATCTTCTGTGAGGCATTATATACATAATTCATCATTTTCATATCCTCCAATGATAAGAGCCTCTCACATTGCAATTTTTTCTATTAATAAAACTATCACATGTATTAATGAGATCTATTTATTCCTATTGAAACCTAACGAAATTGGATGAGAACTGGGCTTTTCAGTCCTAAAGAATTGAACAACAGTAAAAAGTTAATTTTACATTTGGTGGTCCATTTTCAAAACAATATTCCAACAGCAAGTTAACACATGCACAAATAAATCAGATTCAGAACAGATAATTACAAAGTCCATAACATTTAATCATGAGTTGTAGGTATTCAATGAAATCTGACCTATTTCAGTATAATTTTCACAAATTTGCTAAGCACTTCAAGAAAATTACTAAGTTTGGACTTAGAGCTGCTTTGTAATTTAAATTGCTGTATATACACCTTTACTACCAGCTGCAGTACAATGTTGTAGATATGCATGCTCCTTAAAAAAACTAAACATATGCAATGAATATGTCTTAACTAAAAGTTAAAACAAGAATTTGCATACAATGTCAAACAAGTAAACACCTCTCAATGGCGCTCATTTTTACCAGATGATATACCGTAATCAAAATATGAAGTGACTCAACATTATATAGTTCCAGACCATATATATCAAATCATTCCACATTATAGAAGCTGGGTTACAAAAGTTAGAGATGCACAAAAAAAGTCATATTCACAAAGATTTATATTACATTGTAGCATTATTTTTCTACTTGTGAAAATCAGAATATACTGATCATGAAAATTAGTTGGTTAACAGTTTTTGTTGATGTTATTTAAAAACAGAAGACCTGCTTAGTGGATGTTTAACAAATAAGAATTGCCTTCCTACACCCCCACCCCCTTTTACAATCAATTCTAGAACAGTTCTTAATTACCTCTCAATGGTCTGTGTTCCCTAATTACATGTTTTAATACTAAATTCAACAATTCATTCAGGATTATACCAATAAAATATGAAATCTGTAACAAATCAAAATAGAAATTATGTTATTAAACTAGAGACTGCACCACTTATCTGGCTAAACAATATTGAAACAACATATAAAGGAAGTATTTCATTTATTGCTTGTATCTTGATACATCATTGAACTATTTATCCAAAAGTACCTTTGAATAACAAAGCCTTAGCAAATAGGAAACAAGAATGCATGTGTTTTCATGCTAAGCATAGTCTAGAGCCTGTTATTCAGTGGTTGTTGTCGGTTGCTGTCTGTTATATTAGTTTCTCATGTACATGTGTCAAATTTCATGGCCTCAGTCAGTTTTCTAAATTTGTATGCAGTTGATTTGTTAAGTTTTGGTCCTCTTAACAGGAGCATTCCAATTTTGGAGTGCTACAATTATATGAACAAAGCAATGGTTAAACAAACCAAGTCCAGTCAACTTAAAATGTCTCGATCACAATGATTAAATTAAGTACAAGATATCATATTTTCAGATCGAGAAATAAAATAATAAATCCTGTAGTTCATGTATGATTTTAGCTAAAATGTCCTACTTATTTTCATAAATTTCACCCATCTTCAGGCTCAGGGTAAAACATTCAGGCTGATTTCAGGGAGCTGTTTTTTTTTCATTCAAATAATTTTAATTGTCATGGTGGGCCTTTTATAACAGACTATATAATAAAGGTTCCCTCATTGTTGAAGGCCATATGGTGACCTATGGTAGTTGCTTGAATCCATGTCTTCGGACTCAGGTGGAAATGTATCTCACTGACAATCATACCGCATCTCCTTATAAAGACTTAATCAAAAGCTAATTAATTACATTTCCATTTGATACACAGATCTGTCATATTTTATGTACCCGATTTATGTACTTACCGTGTGTAAATCACGTCTAAAAATAATGAGAGCAGCAAAGCCAACACACACAAAAATTGGAACCAGACTAAACCATGCTAAAACATATCCAATCAAATCTCCTGGAACAGAAATACGAAAAGGTAATAATTACAATAAAATATAGCATACATGATTTATCAAACATTGAGTATATTTGTAAGTAAATTATCATGTCAAGTAAATAATCTACAACAAAGTTTACTATAGCATGCTTTGAAAAGCCGTGAGAGAAACTGAAAGGCACCTCATTCTGTAAGTTGAGCAAATGCTACAATCTGATTTAAATTTAAAGTTTAACAAATCCTATACATAATCTATTTTTCAATTCAGTCTCTTGAACCTTTTTGAGCAAAAGTTTTCTCCAATAAATTAACATTAAATATAAATGAATGGTTTGGAATTTGTTTTCAGTGATATACATGTAAATGATAAATAAAGTTAGACGAATATAAACATGATAAATGATATATAAATTTTACAAATGTAAGCAACTTAAATCAATAAATTGAAACAATGCATTTGCATTGATATCTATACATTTAACCAAGGAGATCCAACCAAATGTTTATTAATGCGTGTGGAATGTGTATTTTTCCCTTTTCTGACCATTATTCTTTTGTCAGCTGTGTCAATCGTGCATCTGTAGTTATTAATTTATTATCATTAGAATACAGATTTCCTTCATAGTTGGTCCATGTCTGATCCACGTTCCTATATATTTAAATGGCAAAATAAGGAAAATTTACAAAAATAACCTACATTTTTTTTGTAATCACTGATTGACAAGCTATTTGGAAAGGAATGTTACGAGGCATCTGATACGAATATAACCTCAGGATTCATGTATCAGACCAAAACATTTCTACAATGAAGTTACATGAAGAAACCGTAACATGTCAGCAAAACAGAACAGCCGTGATATAGATAGAACTGCAAGAAGAGTTTGACACACACATGCATAAATGAAATCAAAGTTGTGAAAACCGAGCCTGTGATCAGGTGATCCTGGCCCAACCTCAAGTTCACATCAGTTGAATAATGCACTAGGATCCCAGGCTTCGAAAAAGACATAAGTTTTAAAACTGGTTTTCTGCAGATTATTGTTCATTTGACATGTTTGAGCCGATACCAGTTAAGAAAACATACAAGTTTCCATGAACTACACTCAATATCATGCGATTTTAATAATAATAATTTTCAGAGTGCACTCACAATGTGTAACCAGATTACATATTTATAAGTCCACATCTGTGACATCAAAAAACATGCACAAATGGCAAGTGGGCGACCACTCATTTCAAACCCTGGACTTAAGCAGAAAACTTAACAATTGTTGAAGCCGTCAGAAAAGCAATACCTATGTTCTGCTTTCCATAACAGGACAAAAAAAACAAACATGCATCAATAACCTTTGGGAGCTCACCAGGCCGCAGGTAGCACCTGCCTCATATTGCAGATCTTATCGTTATTTGGAAATCTGCGCCGCTTGACCAGAAATCTGCACCCCTTGAACTATTGAAGTCATACAACAATCACTTTTCCATTGTGGCGTTAGATATTTTCTATTGTGACGTCAAAATTTTACAGGAACCTTTGTGATGTCCAGTAATGGCGGAAAAATAGCGATAAGGTATATTTGTCAGACCTGGACCTAAGATCAAATTGGTTGTATTTCAATGTAAGATTATTAAGCATGTTAATGGTACAAGTACCAACTTTCTCATTGGAATTAAATAATTTTGAAAATAATGATATGACTATCTGCATTGGGATAAGTACACATAATTTGTATCAATCAATATTGTTAATTCATGGCCCTATATTCATTTTTAACGAAGTGGTGCTGTTTTCATTAGCTCATAATTACACCTTTTGGATATTCCACATGAGTTAACGATATAGACTTCCATTGTATGGTTTGTGTGCTACTTTCTGTGACATCAGGTGCCAGATTTCCAGTGTTGACATCTGCCATATTGACCGGAAATCGATTGCAACGCAAGCAGCAGCCAACCGACTAATCGCCGAAAGAATGAAATTCATTGGTTAAAAGCAAAATGAAAGTAAGGATTGATTGAGAAATGAAATTTGATTGGTTAGAATAAAATTAGAAACAAACATGACTTCCAAAGCACATGCACTCTCACTGAAAATCTTAGCAGAATGTTCCACAACAAAAGCCCGAGCATGTCAGATGACACTTCCCCATTCTATTGTAGAGACTCCTGTTTTTATGCCAGTTGGTACACAAGGAACGCTGAAGGGTCTGTTACCTGAACAATTGGAGGAGCTAGACTGTAAAATCATGTTAGGAAACACTTACCATCTTGGTAATAGACCTGTAAGATGTTAACTATGTCTAATGATACAAAATTAAATATGAGGCAGGCATTACCTGTGAAAGGGGACGAAGTCTATATAAATTATTTTTTTTAATTCAAACATATTTTAACTTCTAAATCTGTTAAGGTTCATCATAACAAATGGACAAATATGGCCGTATTTTCCCATCAAAAACTACTCTGTGTACAGACTTACCTGTGCAGTTTGGAAAGTTTTAAGGTCTGGCATCCACTAGATATATAAAAGTTAAATGCATTTTGTGTTTAAGAAAGATAAAATCGTTTTTGGATTTTGATGGGCATTTTTTTTCCTTCCTGCAGAAAATACGACCATATTTGTCCATTTGTTTTGATGAACCTTAAAAAAGAAACGGAAATACCGTAACGTTTCCGATTTTGGTTTTGTTGTTAGGGATTTTAGTTGTGACGTTATTTTAATTATGACGTCATATTCAATGTAAACAAAGAAACACTATCAGGTAACGTTTTTTCATATCAAGCCATTCAAGGAATTATTAAAAATGGAATTGGTATTGCGTTCCTTCCTATATTTTACTAGACTGATAAATATATATTTTACTCAAAGACTCATGCAAACGAGACCGGAAAAAGGAAGTAGATTTCTGCGCAAATGCAGGAAAATAAAAAAGTCTGAAAATATAAAAGTTAACGATTTTGAGTTCATTAGTACAATGAAAAATTTCAGGAAATTTTCCCGATTTTTTTTTTTTTTTTTTTTTTTTTTTATTTTTCTACTGTTATAGGGGACTTCGTCCCCTTATTAAGAAAAACTAATAAATATCTTAATTAGGGATTGATTGATACATAATTCATTGATCAAGAAACATTAAAAGATAACAAATATACATGTAGGGATAATAAAAACATTTTCATGTACATGTATTAAGTCACTACTTACTAACTGAGCTAAACTAGTATTCCACCAGCACAGCTAGTTGATGGAGGTTATATATATAATCTATCAGGTCTAGAAAAGCACTTCATACATGACATATCAAATCTATCATTAGATAATTCAATACAAATGAACATACCAACAATGAAAATATTTGTAGCATATTATTACATTGATTTTTATAGTTTTTATGCCTCTACTGTAAGCAATGGGGCATTAAGTGTTACCCTTGACCATCCGTCTTTCCGTCTTTCTGTCCGTCAGTCCTTCCGTCTGTCCCATTTTCGTTTTCTCACTCCAAAGTTTACCTCATGCAAATCCTATGAAACTTGTAAACAGTGCTAAGAACAAAAACTTGCAGACATAGTTAAATTGGGCAGTGGGTCACCTAGGGTTCTATATAATTTGGAAAATTGCAAATTTTGTTGTCTCTGCACTCTTACTTAAGTATGCCTCATACACAATGCTAAGAACCACAGCATGCAGCCAGAGTTCGTTGTGAGTCATTTACCGTTCTAGATTTATGCCCTTTTTAACTTTGAAAATTGCAAAGCTTGAGCGGGGGCATTCGTGTCCTCAGACACATTCTTCTTTTATTTTGTGAGTTTTTTTTTTAAGGGAAAATTTTTATTATTTTTGCAAAAATTGAGAAATTAGTTTTTAAAGTGTATATTTTATAAATACATTTATGTTAATTCTTTCTTTTCTTTTCTTCACCTCCTACAATTATCATGCTTATGCATCCTTTCAAAAGTAGGATACAACATGTATTTAAAAAAAATTACTGTCATTTTTATTATTTTTCAAAATCATATCCTTAATGAATTCTCTTACCCAAATGTCCTTTTTGAGTATAAATAGTTTTAAATCTTCTTCACACCCTGATAAAAGCACCATGAAGGCAGAGTAAGCATGACATCATATAGTTTTTTGCCCTTTTATTTGGTTCCTTAAAATTGGTCATATAGATCTTCAATATATATGCAAGTATTAAACATCCTTGGCTTTCAAATCATTCCTGATTAAGGTAAATACAGTAAAGACTAAAAGAGCTTTAGACAGTCAAGGGTCTAACTTAAATAAGTTATTAGAGAAAAATAACACATTTTTTATTGAGGGCTAAAAGATAAAAAATCTGTGTATGTTACATGTTTCAAAGGGGCATTATACATCCTTTATTTTGTTAAATTGTGTACTAGTTCTATTGATATTATAATTGTCTTTATGTATATTAAACTTTAGAAAGATATAACAGCCCATAGTTTGACAATCATGCATTACACACCCATGTTATTACAGAAAAAATATGCCTGTAATAACTAAAGGGTGTTATTACAGCTTCTCTACATCTCTTCAAAGCCTTTTCTCCTACATATATCACAATGTATTTTAATTAAGTCTCCCAAACGAAGTTTGGGAAGACTTATTGGTTTTGCTCAGTTCTTATTATTATTATTATTCTTGCTCTTCCGCCACTTTTTTTAATGAACTTGTCCGCACCATTTCTCCAAAACCGCTTGTCAGATTTACTTATGGTTTCACAATATGTTAGATTAACATGTCTAGAGGTGCAATCAGGGTTTCGTTTGTACATTGGGGGTCTTAAAAGGGGTACTTTGAGGGGCCAAAAAAAGGGAGGGGTTTACTATAGAACCCTATGGGATTTTTTTTTCTTTTCTTTTCAAATGATTATAACTTGAAAACCGTTAGTGATAGACACAATCTTTATAATCGAAAATGTTCTACATGATAAAGCACATGTAATGAAATAAAGGGTTCGTCCCCAGGGGTCACCCCCACCCCCTACCATTTGACAAAGTTGTAATATCTTGTAAGTAGTCATGATCCCCACCCCTAAACCATATATATTCTGGTTTGTCATGATAACGCACATCAAATGAAATAAAGGGTAAGTCCCCAGGGGTCACCCCCACCCCCTGCCATTTGAGAAAGTTCTAATATCTTGTAAGTTGTCGTGATCCCCACCCCTAAACCATATATATTCTTGTTTGTCATGATACAGTCCATCAAATGAAAAAAAAGATTAGTCCCCAGGGGTCACCCCAACCCCCTGCCATTTGAGAAAGTTGTAATATCTTTTAAATGGTCGAGATCCCCACCCCTAAACCATATATATATTCCGGTTAGTCATGATACAGTCCATCAAATGAAAAAAAGGATTAGTCCCCAGGGGTCACCCCCACCCCCTGCCATTTGAAAAAGTTCTAATATCTTGTAAATGGTTGAGATCCCCTCCCCTAAACCATATATATTCTGGTTTGTCATGATAAAACACTTCAAATGAAATAAAGGGTAAGTCCCCAGGGGTCACCCCCACCCCCTGCCATTTGAGAAAGTTCTAATATCTTGTAAATGGTTAAGATCCCCTCCCCCAAACCTGTTCGTCATGTCACAAAGATTCGAATGATATATAGGGTCAGTCCCCAGGGGTCCCCCCACCCCCAATGACCTAATATCTTGTAAATGGTCGAGATCCCCACCCCTAAACCATATATATTCTTATTCCTCATGCCAAGAAGATTTGAATGATATATAGGGTCAGTCCCTAGGGTTCACCCCCACCCCCTGCTATTTGATAAAGTTCTAATATCTTGCAAATGGTTGAGATCCCCACCCCTAAACCATATATATTCCTGTTCATCATGTCACAAAGATTCGAATGATATATAGGGTCATTCCCCAGGGGGTCCCCCACCCCCAATGATCTAATATCTTGTAAATGGTCGAGATCCCCACCTGTAAACCATATATATTCTGGTTTGTCATGCCAAGATGATTTGAATGATATACAGGGTCAGTCCCCAGGCATTACTAATGCATATAACTTTACTGGACTTTGCCCAATGTCAGGCGAACCTGGGAATGACGAATTATGGGAGCTTCATTTGGGAGACTTCGTAACAGCATCCTGTTACAATTATTCTTGTTTATATTGTAATAAAAAATGATAAGAGCATGTAATGAGGTTCTGCGCAAGCTTCCTAGTCATTCCCAAGTGTATCATGTAATAAGTGAAATGCCTGTAATAACTAAGCCTTGTTATTACAGCTAAGTTATCACTTAAAAGCCTTGTCTCATTGATTTACCATGGTTGATCAAAAATGTATTAATTGAATTGGAAAATTAGTTTTCAAGGTTATGTATTAAGTTACTGTGCAAGTTTCAAGGATTCCCAAGTGCCCACTGAAAATAAAATTTTTATGGTACATTTAACTGATATCAAACATATGTTACTACAGATTAAGAGAAAGTATCCGTAATAACACATGTATGTTATTTTTCTCTAATAACTTATTCAAGTTACACCCTTGACTGTTAGATACATCAAATGAAATCATAATTTGTACTTCTTTTAACACAATGTTAAATTTTCTTTATCTTAGAAAGAATAAAAGTTACTAAGTTATATATTTTTATGCCCCACCTACGATAGTAGTAGGGGCATTATGTTTTCTGGTCTGTGTGTCCGTTCGTTTGTCCGTCCGTCTGTTCCGGTTCAGGTTGAAGTTTTTGGTCAAGGTAGTTTTTGATGAAGTTGAAGTCTAATCAACTTGAAACTAAGTACACATGTTCCCTATGATATGATCTTTCTAATTTTAATGCCAAATTGGAGTTTTGACCCCAATTTCACGGTCCACTGAACATAGAAAATGACAGTGCGAGTGGGGCATCCGTGTACTATGGACACATTCTTGTTTAATATTCATATGCAGTTTCACATGATCTAGTTGCTATTCATAAAATCCTAGAGATCATCCATTAATACCTGTGACCTTTTAAAGTTGATTAGTTTTTACCTTGTTTATCTAACAATGATGCTGTTGCATGATTGGTTGCTACTTGGCATATTATTCTCTGACACCTATGATTTGTTGCTACATGGCGTCATGTGGAATATCCAAAAGGTGATATGAGTCTTTTTGAAAAGAAACATGCATCTGTCTTACAAAATTTTAATTCTGGTATCTATGATGAGTTTGTATCCACTATTAATCTGTGACACCCATGCCTGTTGCTACATTTTTGTACATGGCATCCATTATTAATCTCTGAATCCATATGATAATTATCAATAGAACTGAACTCAGCTAAAATCATTCTCAGGGCATGTAAGATAAAGAGCATGAATAAGTTCAAAAATTGAATTTCCAATGTTCCCATAGATCAGCAAACATGATCTATATTACTAAATGTAGAACATAGGAAAGTGTAAACGAGTAATGATATTGATCATTACATCTCTCATTACAAATTATCATAACCATTACCATTGCTTCAAGTTAAGCAGGTCAGTGTTGCTTTACACATAAATTTCCTGTCAAAAAGATATGATTAATTTTGATATTAGGGACAGAACAAGCATGTTAAGCGATTTATTTGGCATATTATTTTTGTTTAGATTTGTACTTTTGATTTAAAAATTATGTTAAAATTTAGAAAAACATGGAAGTTTGATTGCATTTCTTTCATAAAATTACTTGTTTATTCATTATTATGTAACACTTTTCTTACAAAGTTCTTTATTTTGTCCTTTTAACACATGTTTAACAAGTTAAAGACTGATTTTTATTTCAGGGTCCAGAACTATTAGAAAAAGCTGGAGGTCTTCATAAATTTATGAATTGGAACAGATCTTTACTGACAGTAAGTTATTTAAGACATAGCATTATAATATGTTCAATATCCCATGAAATTTGCATTGCTTTGGTGCTTAAATGGTAGCATGCCAGAGATTGGTTTATTCCTTTGTTCAGTCAAATCCCTAACTGTTAACATTGTTAAATTTTTAATTGCTACTTCTCTGCTAAGCACTGGGCATTTAGGAATCCGAGCAAAAAGTCAGACTAATGTGTTCATATGAGGTGACGTGTTCTTGCCAACTGTTACATGTGATTTAGAACTTAAAAGATCTGGAACAAAAGTGTTCCTTATGTACAAATGTTCATATTCATATATGCATATTGCATTGATATGTTCTTGTCTTGATTATGGTTGAAAGATTGCCTGGTAAACATTAAACATGCATTTATGAATAAGACTCAAAGATAGAACAACATAAGTATCATACATTGAAACAAATTTTGGTTTATCGCAGGCATTTATAAAATGTTGTGTGATGAAATACAGGAATTTCCAGTTTGTATACTAAAAGGAAAATGCAAAAATTAAAGTTGTTTAGAATTAAGTTCAAACCTGTGCAATGTGTATGTAAGTGGTGATTACATAGTACAGTTCATTGCAAAACAAAGCAAATAATACATTTAGCTCTTTTAAACTTCCTGTATTTAGCAGGTTTATGATATTGTGATTCTTGATTTTTCTCTGTTTTATAACTTTTATTTTGCAATGTTTAGTCATTATTGATAGACAATAGAATTTGATGATTTCTCCTGCTTTAAAGATTGTCTTTTATTCCATTATTTCAAAAAATGGCATTGCCAGGAAAATTTTCAGATGTAGCTAAATTTAATTGTAATGACCATTTAGATGTTTTTTGTGATCTGCAATCAAAAATTGCCCATATACTTCCAGCTTTTCATTAATCAAGATGTGTTATTCTTTTTTTACAGGACAGTGGTGGATTCCAAATGGTGTCTTTACTGAAGTTAGCTGAGATAACAGAAGAGGGAGTTAAATTTCAATCTCCCCATGATGGTTCTGAAATGATGCTTACTCCTGAGAAGTCCATAGAAATACAAAACTCTATAGGTTGCATTTTATTTCAGTTAATATAAAAATTATTAATTTAAAAATGTTAGTGCCAATATTCAAAATACAACTACTGTGCATGGTATAGCAAAATATAATTGGCAGAAGTAAAACTCCAGTTTCCAGTGGACACCACATGTTTTTTTTTCTGTGGATAATTATAAGGTATTGAAGCAAAAACAATTCTGTTGCAAATGAAAATGAAAATTAAGGATGGTAGGGTAAAAAAACTATGTTCACACCCCCCCCCCTCCTTATATTTTTCATTGGAGTACTAAGCCCTATGAAAGCAATTACTTCAATTTAATATGTTGTTTTAAGGACACAAAAATTCTAGTAATACATTGTCCTGTCCATCATGTATAAGCATGTTGTGCACTTACTCTTCTATTACTTATGCAATTTTTTTCATCAGTAGACAAATTTAGAGTTGTATTATGTTTACTGGTATGCATGTCCGTCCATTTATCAGTTTGTGTTTCTTCCTGTGTCTGGGTGCTTGACATATACATTGATGTACATGGCCTCTGACATATTATGACTTATAAAGGTCTGTAAATGTTGCAATAATTATGTATGAGGTTTGACTGCTATTAATTTGTTTGAGACAAATTGATATTAATGAAAAAGGAAGGTAACTTTTGCATTTAACCTATTTCAACATGTGAAAGTCAACATTTTTTGACTTATTTGTGCCTAATTTCTGACTGATTTCCATTTAGAAAGTCTATGATTTATTTTTTGCTATTATTTGTTTAAAGACTGGTTATTAATAAATACATCTTAATCTTTTAATGCCCAAATTTCTTTGAGGATGGATAAAGGCAAACTTCAAAAATTTTCAAAGGTTAGAACTTCCCCAGAATCATGATAATTCCTATTCTTACTATTAAATCATTGTAAAATTTTGTAGTTACCTCCCATTGACCACATCTTGCTCATTTTGCCACTGTCTATCTCTTACATCTTTCCACTTTTACATGTTTTTTTTTTAAAGTTGCCATAGACATTTGGGATACATTTGGAGTAAGTGAAATGGCTTTGTAGTTCATTTAAAGCTGCCATAGAATTTTCAGGATAGATTTGTAATTGAAATAAGTGAAAACGTTTGTTATACATTTAGAGCCTTTTTTTAACAGGAGCTGATATAATTATGCAACTTGATGATGTTGTACACAGTTCTACAACTGGATCAAGACTAGAAGAAGCCATGTGGAGGTTAGAATATAGTCACATTATTTACTGGTTCAGCTTAATTAGCTTACCTGTGATTTCACCACATACAAATGTAAATATAGATATTACTTCTTTAATGAAACAAATAAAGACACATACTATGGATGGTAGATATTTATTCACATAAATATTTCAGTACATTTGATTTATTCTAATAAACAAAGGATTCAGAAACAAATATGAGCATTACATAACCAGCTGATAATTTTTTACAGAAACATCGAAGTGATGTACCGGTACTTAAAAAAAAAAAAAAAATCACCCTAACCCTTTTATATAGCAGTGGTCAGGGCTAGTAACATCTCCGTAATAGGTCAACATATCATTAAAAAAGATTCTATGAATCTTCATCTATCGTCTAAATGAGTATATCGGGCAATGGGATATTTCTTGCTGACATTTTGAGTATCCTATATGCTGGAGTCTCCTTACTGATATTGTTTGTAGAAAAAGATAAATCTGTGTGAAGGTATAGGATTTATGAGTCCATACAGCTATTAACCACCAGCACACTGAAAAGGCAAGGATGAAAGTATGATTAACTTTTCAATTTGGTAGACTTCAGATATCTTCTGAAAACATCAGTGAAACATATATTTAGAAGGTTTTGGTAGAATGTCTATTTCTTGTATTAAGGTTATGTCCAATTTTGTAACAAATTTTTTTTTTTTTAACACTAAGGTGTGATTTTTCATAAAAAGAAACACCAGAGTGTTATAATTGACAACTTGAAAATACATTTGTTGACTGTAAACATGATGACAGCATGTATTCATCTTGATGGTATATGTGTTAAAAACATGGCAAAAATAGCTACCTGATCATTCTGCACAGATGTACTTTTTAACAAGCCAAACACTACATTGTATTTGATTGGTTGAAGGACGGAAGAACCATAAAATACCTGCCAAATCAAACCTTTTATTTTTTGAAAATAAATACAGTGGTTTTTATTGAAATTTGAAATTATATAGATGTGATTATCTTTCAGGCAAATTAAAGGAATATGTACTGACTATATATATTAGAGTTCATTTACTTTCATTATGACTAGGGCCATGTAGATGTATAATATTTGAGTCTCTTTTTATAACTGTCATTTATAGTTGGGGTTGTTTTTTAGTCCCCTACCGACGAAGTCAAAGGGGACTTTAGGTTTGCACTCTGACCGTCTGTCCATCTGTCAGTCCGGCAAATCAGTTTTCCACACTTTTTATACACCCGTTTATGGGACGTATTATGGAATACCGTTGACCGTCCGTCCGTCGTCAACATGTCGTACATTAATTCAAAAACGCTTTAACCAATATGCATGAAACTTTGGTGAATTGTTTATATCTATTGATGTGAGCTCCCTTTCGTTTTTTATAAATTTCAGATTTACCATTTCCGAGTTTTGGGGTTTTATTCATTAAAAAAGGGGGGATTTTCCAGTTTTCGGACAATAACTCAAAAACAATTTCACCAATTTGCATGAAACTTTTGTGAATTGTTCATATCTAATGACGTGAGCTCCCTTTCATTTTTTATAAATTTCGGATTTACCGTTTCCGAGTTTTGGGGTTTTATTCATTAAAAAAGGGGGGATTTTCCAGTTTTCGGACAATAACTCAAAAAAAAAATTCACCAATTTGCAAGAAACATTTTGTGAATTGTTCATATCTATTGAGGTGAGCTCCCTTTCATTTTTTATAAATTTCGGATTTACTGTTTCCGAGTTTTGGGGTTTTATTCATTAAAAAAAGGGGGATTTTCCAGTTTTTAGACAATAACTCAAAAACAATTTCTCCAATTTGCAAGAAACTTTGGTGAATTGTTTATTTCTATCGACATGAGCTCCCTTTTGATTTTTATAAATTTCAGACTATACGTTTCCGATTTATGGGGTTTTATTCATTACAAAAAGGGGGATTTTCCAGTTTTTGGACAATAACTCAAAAATGCTTGTAGCATTTTTTATGAAACTTTGGTCAATTGTTTTTATCTATTTTTGTAAGCTCCCTTTTGATTTTTATAAATTTTAGATTTTATGTTTCCGAGTCATAAGATTTTTATTTGTTTATAGTCATAAGATTTTATTTGTTTATAGTCTGACAACAGATTTACTAAGTATTACACAACAGCACAGTATATTGCACAACAGCAAGAAATCTTTCATATAACCAATTTCAAGTTCTTTGACTACATTTATTCTGAAACCTATAATATATCAAATATTTAATTCACTCCAAATTCAGACCTGTATCAAGCTTGAATATTGTGTCCATTTTTGCCCCAACTGTTCAGGGTTGGACCTCTGCTGGCGTATCCAGCTGCGCTCAGCGAAGCAGTTTTTTTCTTCATGCTTGAAGATGTTGATTTGATATTTGGTGTATTGCTTTATCATGACAAGTTACAGATCAAGTTCGAATTTTGTTCTGGTCTGATGATTTTGTGCAGAGTTATGGCCCTTGGACTTAAAAAATTCACTCAAATTATCAGTATTCTACACTTTTTTTCGTCATGCTTGAAGAAATGATTTGAAAATTGGTTTATAGTTTTATCATGACCAGTTACAGATCAAGTTCGAATTTTGTTCTGGTCTGATGATTTTGTGCAGAGTTATGGTCCTTGTGCTTAGAAAATTCATTTGAATAATGAGTTTTCAACACTTTTTTTTGTCATGCTTGAAGATATTGACTTGATATTTGATATATAGTTTACACCATGACAAGTTATAGATCAAGTTAGAATGTTGTTCCAATACAACAAATTTTTAACCGGTAGAGGACTATGTATTGCCATGCAACTCTCACAGAATGCATGTTGAAAATTCTTTTGAATAAAATTCTATGTAGATACATTGACTTTAGTGTGTTTATTATAGATCCATTTTTCTTTAAGGACAATACGATGGCTGGATAGGTGTTTGAAAGCTCACAAAAGGCCACATGATCAAAGTATTTTCCCAATAGTACAAGGTGGACTAGATGCTGAACTGCGGAAGAAATGTGCTTATGGTAATAATCCTAGGGTTATATTATCATAAAAGGCTATAAAGGAGCTTGGTTAGATGGTTTAAGACTTAAATCAATTTGCCTGTCTGTCAAGCTATCTAAAATATTTTTTTCATCTTGAAACTTCCTTCTTTTAATGAATATATTTTGCTTATTGTAGGCAAAAGGTCCTGATGAGCTATTGCTATCACTTGGCATCTGTCTTCATCCATTGTCTGTTGTCCTGAACTGAATGATTAGAATGTCTAGATCTACCTACTGTCCATTTTCACTAAAATAGTCAGTCGACTCCTCATTGGAGTTATTGCCCTTAAATGATAATTATACCCCTGCTTTAAAAAAGTGGGGGTATACTGTTTTACCTCTGTCTGTCTGTCCATCCGTCCCATGAATATTTTTCGTCGCAGCTTTCTCAGGAACTACATCATAAGGATTTCTGAAATTTGGTTTCAGGGTTTATATAAGTCAGCTATACTGTGCGAGTTGTTTTCAGATTCATCACTCAACAACTTCCTGTTTATCGAACACTTACATACTTTTACACTATTAAAATTATCCAGTTTGCGGCGGGGTATCATCAGTGAGCAGTAGCTTGCAGTTTCACTTGTTTAACCAATGTTTCATGTTTCTAGCTATTATATTAAAAACAGTTATAGATAGAGATGAAAATGGCAAAAACAGCAGGACAAGATCTAAAAATAAGTCAACATTGCAGTAATCATTTGTAGACTGCTTAAATGACTTATTGCTATTGAATTATGATTTTTGTGTTTTTGGTTGAAAGTTGAAACTGTACATGTCAGCAATATAAGATCTTAAAATATGTCATCATAACCAAAATCATCGGTTGACCCCATATAGGAGTTAATGCACTTGAATGACGATTTTTTTGTGGAAATTACAGGAGATTGCAACAAGCTGTAAATAGCAAAGATGATCAGCGAAATAAGATTGACAATAAGTGAACATGGCTGAAATTGTTGGTCACACACACAGGAGTTAAAAGTACTTGAATGATGATTATCACCAATATTTGTGTTTTGTGCCAAAACTAAAGCAGATAGAGAGAAACTGTGAAAGCTGATAAGCAAAATAAAAACATTTACAAATAAGTCAACATGGCTGAAATTGTTATTGCCCTTTAGTGATGATTTTTACCTATTTTTGTATTTTTTATGAAAGCTGTAGGAGGTAAAGAGAAACTGTTAAAAGCTAAATTGATGAGCAAAATAAAATCTAAAAATAATGGCAGAAATTGTCAGTTGACTCCTTATAGAAATAACTCCACTTGAATGAGAATTTTATGCATTGACAATTGTTGATCAGGATTTCATCTCCTGATTAATTGAAGAATTTGAAACAGTCAAGATTTCGAAACCTTTTTATAACTTTGAGTTGATTTCCTCCTCTGTGTATGTTAGATTTATAAACATAGCATTCATATCACTTGTAAAATTATTCTTATCCCATTTATGAAGAAAAAGAATGTTACTGGTACCTAGAAACATGGGTTAACAATACTTTCATTCAGTGGCTGGTTTTTAAAATCCACACTAGGATTTATCTCATGTCTTTTACAACAGAGGCTTGAATAGTGTGTCAAAGCAGTTTGTTTCTTCACCAAAAGTCATTACAGACTCAAAACACTTCAAAGTCTGTCAGTAACTTCTACTGACCAAGCATGTGTATGTGTCTTCTCAGCATTTTAAGAAGTAACCGACAGACACTAGGTCTTTTAAAAAAAATGTTACTTTGTACTTTCTCTTTACTTTTGAAGAACAACAACACCACTATGTGTTACAGGTGTAATACCACCAAATCATAGTACGTCGCATCAGGTTGCATACGAAAAAGGGTCGAAAAAAAATATACCCTTGAATTTGACAGTTGTAGGAAATTAATTCTACATTTCATTGCAGTAAAAAATTTCTGAGTCATAAACTTATATCTTGGGTGTTTCAAAGCACCATTATTTTTTTATTTGGTGTTTCTATAGAATATTTTGGAAACTTGCAGTTACATGGTTACTATAGCTTGTACACAGGAAAAAAGGGGTAAAAATTTGATTGGTTAACTTCCAGTGATGGTTGTTTTCTTATATGCAATGAAATGTTATGTGAAATTTTGTCTATAGTACTGGACAGGATAAGACTTTACTCATGCCAAGTATTTCTTTATTTGAAACAAAGATAAATTCTGCACAATTTTTTGAAAAGTGCAAATTTAACAAAGACTAATAGGGGAAAATCAATGGTGGTTTTACACCTACAGCTTCAATATCACAATGGAGGCAGCGAAGTAATCAAGTTGCAGTTGCATGAAGGACTGTTTTCAAGACATTTCAGTGAAACTTAATCTTTATGTTTTTGTAATTTTGTTACATTAAATCATTCAATAATTAATTTAATCATTGCCAAGATGTGTTTTTTATGAGGTATCTGAGAAAAGAATAATGCAATAAGTAAAAGACACCTTTAAGGGTCATAACTTCATCAAATACAATAAGAAAAAGTTAAGAGATATGAAACTAATTCTAGGAAGAAAAATGCTTGCAAAAATACGGCAAAATTTGTGTAACCCTTAAAAATGTTGTCAAACACAAAAAGACACCAGGAGGAATTTTCTTAACTTGACACGTATGTGAGCCACAACATGTAAATGTGGCAATTTTACTATTTACAAAAGATAACTTTACTGTTATCCTTTATTTAAAAAACAAAATTATGCTATGATGATATCTATTTTTGTCTCGCCTGCGGAGAAAGTCACACGAGACATAGGTATTACTATCCAGCGGCGGCGGCGTAAACTATTTGTATAAAGCTTTATATTTCAGAAGGTAGAAGACCTGGATGCTTCATATCTTGTATGCAGATACCTTATGTTACGAAGTTTCTGTAAATTATATGTCCATTTTCCTTGACCTCATTTCCATGGTTCAGTGACTGCTTGAAAAAAATTTTGAGTTTTTTTGTCATGTGAATTTCTCACTTATTATGAGTAATTGATAACTATATTTGGTATATAGGTTCCTTGCAACGTCTGCATGTCTGTCAGACAGAGTTCACCTGACCTTGACCTTATTTAATGGATCAGTGATCAAGGTTAAAGTTATTTGATTAGGTCTGTTTCTCAGATACTATAAGCAGTAAGTCAACTTTATTTGGTGTATGGAATGATTGTAATAGGTACATGTCAGTCTGGCATGGTTCATATGACCTTGACCTCATTTTCATGGTTCATTGGTCAATGTTAAGTTTTTGTGTTTTGGTCTGTTTTTCAAGTACTATAAGCAATAGGTCAACTATATTTGTTGTATAGAATGATTGTAAGGTGTAAAAACAGGCGAGACATTTCTTCATGTGCACTGTAATAAAAAGAAACAGACATCTTAAACAAGTCCCATGCATATTCCTCTCAATACTAAACAAAAATTTTCCAACAACTGCTATAAATAAAACTTAAAAAAAATGACTTAACAACTTAGGACAACTATGCTCCTCTCTTTTGGTTATTTTTGTTGTTATGTTGTTGTCTCATGACATTTAATCCCACATCTCCTTTTATTCAAACTAATGTAATAATTTTCATGCATGTTTAAGTCAGATGGGCTTGCTCACACTGCCAACAATGCTTTGAATTCAATATTTCTTCTCAATTAAGTGATGATTGATTTGTCTGTTTTAGAATTAATAAAAAGAGACGTTCATGGTTATGCTATAGGAGGATTGAGTGGTGGTGAAGAAAAGTCAGATTTCTGGAGAATGGTTTCGTTGTCTACTGACATCTTACCTGATGATAAACCAAGATACTTGATGGGAGTTGGGTAAGATTGAAGGAGGGAGAGGTAGGGGGTAAATTTGTTTATCTCTGTAGATCCGTCTGTCACATTTTTCTTAGGAACAACAAATCAGAGCTTCACTAAATTTAATATCAAGTTTCATATGAGCATTCTATACTGTTTGATGCGTTTTCCCATCCATTGCTCCTCAACTTTATGTTTTAATTCAAACATATTTTTACACATAATTTTCTTCACATTTTTTCTCAGGAACTATGAATCAGAGAACCCTAAAATTTGAAATCAAGCTTCATGTGATCATGGTATACCATGTAATGCAATTTCATATCAATTCTCATTAACATCCTGTTAACGAATACTTATAGTGGGAGTATCATAAAGTGAACAATAGCTCACAGTACCGGTACATCTTGTTATTTTAAAAAAAATTTGGAGTGCCTTAAAAAAGTAATCATAAAATTTTCAAGCAAGAATTCAGGATTTCAGGTTAGTTGAAGCACAACCCTGACAATACTATTATGTTTAATTTAATGATCTAGTGGGGCAGGGTGAGTAGTACAAGGCCTGATTCTGCTCCTGATTTTGACATATTGTATAGAAACCTCTCTATTGTTGAATTCTAGATGTATTTTTACTGTTTATATCCTTGGGTTGCAGTTTCCTTGACATATACTTCCTGTCAGATCTTTTATCTATATGAGCAGAAAGCAAAGTTTATGCATTTTTTGTATTTAGAAAAGTAAATTTTTCATTTATTTAAAGTAGCAAACCAAAATTTATAATTTTAGGTTTCATAACTAGAAAACAGTAGGCAAGTAATATGTATATTCATTGTTATGAAGAAGAAAATGTCTTATTCTGCCATTTAAGAATTTGAAGAATATATTAAACACTAGACATTTCAATGAACAAGACCAAACAAAATTGCAGGAATTAGATTCTTTATAAAAAAGGGAGATGTGATATGATTACCCATGAGACAAATATCAACCAGAGACCAAAAGACATGCATTTTGTTCATCATAGTAAATTATCATGCCTGCCATATAAAATAAGGAGATGTGGTATGCTTGCCAATGGGACAACTATCAGACAGAGTCCAAACAACATGGATTTAAGCAACATAAACTATTCTTTTGTCTGATTAGAAAGTGTCATATTACTTCAAGTTTAACTCTGTATTACCTATTTCAGATTTGCTGTAGACCTGGTTATTTGTGCAGCTCTAGGATGTGACATGTTTGATTGTGTTTTTCCAACAAGGACAGCTGTAGGTTTCTTAATTTAGATATTAATATAAAATCAATAAATATTTTCATTAACACATATTACCACTTGAGAACAAACTGTATTTTATTGGAATAACTGTCAAAAGTTGATGAACATCTTCCCACATCATTAAAATGAAGAAATTTGTTGCTAATGGAATTCAGAAAGCAAAGGAGTAGGGGCAATAAGGCCCTTATTTGGCCCAAATATTGCTGCAACTTTAAAAGTTATCCTACATATTCTTAAATTTGTCCTAATTAGACTAAGGTACGAGGTATACAGAAAATAAAAACAAATTTGACATTTAAAGAGTAACCATGGTAACAAACCATGACGAAATTCATATATTTTGTAAAATTTCTCGATTTTCCTTGTTTTTCATCAAATTTTAAGTATATTTGAGATTGGCAAAGTAAATGCGCATCCAAGAAACAACTTTATATTTGGTGAGATTATGTCAATAGTTATAATAAAGCTTCTCTTTAATTATTTTGATGTTTCTTGGCTGCGCACAATGTTTCCACATTGGAAATAATGATGGAAAACTGCTTAAATTCTGTATTTTTTGTCATTTTCATGAAAACAGTACATGTTATGACGTAATTGTGACGTCATCAGATAAAAAATCTTATGTTTTTCATTTATATTTCTTAACTCTATGCATTTCCAAACATTATGTGCCAGTTTGGTATAGTTGTCAAACATTTTATTTTCTTGGGCCAAAACCGGGCCTTAATGTCCCTACTCCTTTATATTTATCATTCTTAAAACGGTCCTTAAAAGGAAACATTAAAGCGACTGTTTATGGGACATACTATGGTATACTGTTGTCCGTTGGTCAGTCGTCAACACTTCAAACAATAACTCAAAAGCACTTTCACAAATTTTCATGAAACTTTGGTGAATTGTGTATATCTATTGATGTAAGCTCCCTTTTGATTTTTATGAATTTTAGATTTTACGTTTCCAAGTTATGGGATTTTATTCTTAAAAAAATGGGGGATTTTCCAGTTTTCTGACTATAATTCAAAAATGCTTTGAGCAATTTTCATGAACCTTTGATGAAGCGATTATATATATAGACATAAGTTCCATTTCGATTTTTTTTAAATTTTGGATTTTGCATTTTGGAGTATTTGAACTTTATTCATAAAAAAGGGGGAATTTTCCAGTTTTTGGACAATAATTCAAAAACACGTTTTTTTTTTACCTTCTATTAAGTGCCAAATTATTCATGTTTTGTGTCAATGGGTACCACTGTGTGTGCATGTCATTTTTATTAATTTTTTTGGGTGGGATGGGGTTGTCTATTTGAGCAGTGCTCACGGTATTTCTAGTTTATCATATAAATTCATTTAAAGCATACAGACGAACAAAAAGGGTTCATTGCATAGCTCTTTATTACATTTATTGTGCTAAAGCTGTCAATATAAATGTTCCTTTGCCATTAAAGTCATTAAAGGAATAAACCAGTATATTGTATTCCAGAATTTATTCGGCATACCAACACCCCAAAAGGACACAGTTAAATGCAGTCATTTATGGTCATTGTATGATAACAAAGGTTTTTTAGCTCACCTGACCTGAAAGGTCAAGTGAGCTTTTCTCATAACTTTGCGTCCGTCGCCCGTCGTCCTGCGTCCGTCGTCCGTAAACTTTTACAAAAATCTTCTCCTCTGAAACTACTGGGTCAAATTTAATCAAACTTGGTCACAATCATCATTGGGGTATCTAGTTTAAAAAATGTGTCCGGTGATCCGGTCAATCAACCAAGATGGCCGCCATGGCAAAAAATAGAACATAGGGGTAAAATGTAGATTTTGGCTTATATCTCTGAAACCAAAGCATTTAGAGCAAATCTGACACGAGTAAAATTGTTTATCAGGTCAAGATCTATCTGCCCTGAAATTTTCAGATGAATCGGACAACCCGTTGTTGGGTTGCTGCCCCTGAATTGGTAATTTTAAGGAAATTTTGCCGTTTTTGGTTTTTATCTTGAATATTATTATAGATAGAGATAAACTGTAAACAGCAATAATGTTCAGCAAAGTAAGATCTACAAATAAGTCAACGTGACCAAAATGGTCAGTTGACCCCTTAAGGAGTTATTGCCCTTTATAGTCAATTTTTAACCATTTTTTCGTAAATTTTTGTAATCTTTTACAAAAATCTTCTCCTCTGAAACTACTTGGCCAAATTTAACCAAACTTGGCCACAATCATCATTGGGGTATCTAGTTTAAAAATTGTGTCCGATGACCCCGCCCGATACAAGATGGCCGATATGGCTAAAAAATAGTACATAGGGTAAAATGCAGTTTTTGGCTCATATCTCTGAAACCAAAGCATTTAGAGCAAATCTGACGAGGATAAAATTGTTCATTAGGTCAAGATCTATCTGCCCTGAAATTTTCAGACCAATCAGGCAACACGTTGTTGGGTTGCTGCCCCTGAATTGGTCATTTTAAGAAAAATTTTCAGCTTTTGGTTATTATCTTGAATATTATTATAGATAGAGATAAACTGTAAACGGCAATAATGTACAGCAAAGTAAGATCTACAAATAAGTCAACATGATCAAAATTTTCAATTGTCCCCTTAAGGAGTTATTGCCCTTTATAGTCATTTTTTTACAATTTTCATAAATTTTGTAAATTTTTGTAAATTTTTACATAATATTTTCCACTGTAACTACTGGGCCAAGTTCATTATAGATAGAGATAATAGTAAGGAGCAAGAATGTTCAGTAAAGTAAGATCTACAAACACATCACCATCACCGAAACACAATTTTGTCATGAATCCATCTGTGTCCTTTGTTTGATATGCACATAGACCAAGGTGAGCGACACAGGCTCTTTAGAGCCTCTAGTTTTTTATAGTTTTCTTTTCACCAATTCAAATATTAACCCTTGAACATGTTTCACTTTAATTAAATACTGTTGATTTATTTCTTTTTATAGGTATCAATTTTTTGGTTGTATCAAAATTAGCTAAACTCTGATTTAATGGTTACATCATTTGTTCTTAGCAAAATTACTTAAGAATTGTTTTTCATTGAGTCTTTTTTAAAAGTGGTGATTTTCCTTTACCAGTACCCACAAAATCTTCAAAAATTGGTTTTCAACAAACATTGTCTTCTTTGAACAATGGGAGATTAATTGAAGTGTAACATAAAGTGATATTAATTATGAAACCTTCAACAAGACTGTTAGCAATATAAACTGTGGCAACTATAAAGTTAACTATACAAGCCTTAAAGTTTGATGAATTTTTTTTTTTTTAAATTGTGATTGTTTATTTCAAATTCAATTTTGCAGAGATTTGGATCAGCTTTGGTGCCAAGTGGTCAGTTGAATCTGAAGTCAAAAATCTTTTCATCAGATTTTCGTCCTATTGATGATCAGTGTAAATGTTCCACGTGTAAAAATTTCACAAGAGCATATCTTCACACTATAGTGACCAATGAAACTGTAGCGTGTCATCTGTTGTCTGTGCATAATGTTGCATATCAGGTATTGTATAGTGTGGATTTGATTATTTTCATGGGTACCAATTTTTGTGGATAAAGAATAAATTGTACTTTCATGGATATTTTATTTCATGGTTTTGCCAAAGTCTGCATACAAGCTTATAGAAATTTGTACTTTGTTAAACATTTAATTTTCTGGTTCAGAATTAAAAAAAAAGTCAGTGCTTTGGTATTGTCATGGTTTATAGCAAATTTTTCTAAACCACCTCGTTGATAAATAAAGAAATTACTAAGAAACTAAGGTTCCAACACACTCAGGCAAAGTTGACCTAATATGAATTTGGCTGTATGTTTTAGGTTCCTTTTGGTCATATAACACCTAACATTTCTACATATTTATACATCCCTTGCTTTCAAATGTTTTGGTTTGAACATTCTTTATGAAGATAAATAGAAAACATTGTCAACTGAGGTGAAGCCAAGGTTGACAATGTCTTTTCGAGGGGTAACAATCTGCTCTATCACCCTCTCAGATATGTGTTATTTAGTTTATTATACTGAATGTTCTGTTATTACTGTCTATTAAATTTCAAATTCAAAGTAACAAACTATGTTGTCTTGTTCATAACAATCACATGTATTTATTAAACAGTGATATTGTTTGCCTCAGATTACAGCCGAAATTCGGCCTTTTCCCCTACAGAAAATTCCCAATTACTAAAAAAAATGGCTTAAAATTCCTCCCAAAAAGTTTTACATTTTCCCCAAACAGTGATGGAATTGGTAGTAATGTTTGTAAATATCGTACTCATATTAGAAAGCACTTTTGAGATCCGGTTTTCTGATCAGAATCATCATGGTGTTTGAATAGAATAGAATAGAATAGAATATTTTTATTTACCAAATTAGGGCCCCAGGAGGGCATATAGCATACAAACAATATTATTATAAACAATAACATATGCAAAACACAGACAATAGATATGTAACCTGTGATATAAAAACAATAAAATAGAATAATATACTACAGAAAATACACTCAACAAAATAGTAGCAATGTATTATTATTCAATGAATACTATGTTGACATTGACTCAAGTGCACCCGGTAAGTGTATTTTCACTTTGAAAGACAAACAAGAGGCATTAGTAGTTTGTGCTGAGAAATCTCAATATAAAAAAAAACAAAAAAAACCCAATTTATTAACACATGTGGTTTTCAATGCATTAAGTACCCTCATTGCTTCTGTTTCTTTCCCCTCTCCGAAAAGTACCTTTCAGGTTGAAAAAGTCTGACAACCAAAATATACATGAAAACAACAGTGCAAAAAAGACAGCAAAGGTCAGCAAAAAAACGGAGATGTGTTTAGAATAAAATATACAAATTTCCCAATTTCCATAAAAAATATGCATTTTTCCCAATAAAAAACGGTAGAGGTAGTTTTGAAAAAAGACAACAATATCACTGTTAAAGCACACACTTGAGCAAGTGTCTCCGTGAAGGGTAATAGAGTATTTGCCATGGGATAAAGTGAATTATCTCCCTCTTAATAACCAATCAAAATCTGGCGTTTTGAAATGAAGTATAATAAAGTACTTTGACAACTACTTAAATATGTTGATAATGAGATAACTGCAGTACTAGAATATATTGAAACATAAAACTTAACTATAAAATTAATTTCGTTTTATAGTAAATATTTAAGGTAGTAAACCAAATTTGTTAAAAGCATATAGATGACCTTCAAAAACCGTGCACTGTCCCATAAATTTCATATGTCACAATGCGTAAGTTATAATGTCTAGTAAGAACCGATTGTTCAATAACATTATTTACACCGATTGACCTCGAGTAAATGGGTGTAACTCATTCATAAAACACAACTCGAGATCTGTGTATGGTGAAATTGTATATATATTTGCTATCATGGAATGTACATAGATAATCTTTTGATTGTTTGTATCGTTGGATCTCATTTATTACATGTGCCACACATGTGTTCTTTTATTTATATTTTTTAAGACAACTAATAATAACTTGTCTTTTACAGTTGAATTTAATGAAGTCTGTCCATGATAGTATAATAGAAGACAAGTTTCCACAGTTTATAAAGGCGTTCTTCATCCAGCAGTTTCCAAACAAAGACTTTCCTCAGTGGGCTATAGATGCATTAGATTCAGTTAATGTTAAACTAAATGAAAATACAACAGACAATGGCCAATCTTCAGTAGATGTGAAGAATAAAGTCAGTGACTCTTCAAATATAGAAAATTCTAAAATATCATGATACTAATAAATTCATTGATATCTCAAACAGTTAGTTTTTGGTGCCCCTAAAATATTTCTGGGAAACATGAAGTGACTGATTGACCATAACATTATCAATTATTATTCTTCTGCGACATGTGCACTTTGGTCAATGTAGAAAATAGGAATTATTATTCTTGAACATTTTTATTCTGCAAATATTAATCATTTTATTAATAGTTCCCAAGTGATACATTGTTTGTACATTGAATAAATAACCATGCTTTTAGGTTCACATAGACAAAACTTGGCAATTAATGTAATAACCTCGAGCTCAGTGCCCATGTCCACATATGTACGAGTATTCATAGTCGGTTATTATATACTAGTTTACAGGTATATTAAGCTATATGATCTAGTGTACAGTTACATCTTAGTGACTGATCCTGTGCCGTAAAGATGAAAGTCATATGATCCATATTTCACAGTCCTCTAGCTTTGAATATTAAAACAAAATTCAGTTCAAAGATAAAAAGTAATCTTCAATCATATACATTGGTGTACAGAGGAATCTAGAAGAGTGCATAAGCTTTCCACCAAAAGAGGGATAGTGTAACCTACTTTTCATACTCCATTGAGTTACGGTTAAGTTTTTATGTTGACAGTTCATTTAACATATGATAAATATAGATTCTACCACTGCATCGAGTGTGATACGATATTTATCCACTCGAGACAGTTAAATTTTCAAATTTAAAACATGAGGCTTTAAATATTTAAAATTTAACTGTCGAGAGTGGATAAATATCGTATTACACGAGATTTGGTGGTGGAATCTGTTTCTCTAATGATTTTCAAACAATACGCAGGCAAATTTATTCCTTCTTTTCGAATGATCTGCAAAAAGATGTGTTCTTTCTATGTGACGTCATCAGGCATGGTCGCCTTTTTTCATGCCGTCACAATAGGAAATTCAGAGGAAAGCAAGAAAATTCAACGTCATAATCGGATTTTAACCAATGAAGAACCGAGATCAAACGAACCACACGTTGATTAAATTTTTTTATACAATGGGTGCAGAAAGGGATAAATTGACGAAGAATTAGAGAATATGTTTTACTTCCCTTGTTCTGTTATTGGATAATAAGTTACATACAATTATATTGCTCCATTTCTTGTAATATTATCACCTGACTGAAACTTAACTAGTGAAAAAGTGAAGGTTTGTGTTCGGAAATGGTAGCAAAAACGTTTTTGTTGGCAGGTGTTAAGTCGACAACAATTACCATGTGACTGAAAGTGTGGTCAGATATAAAGGTGTTAACCAAGGTTGCAAGAAATTTTTGTTTGGCAGATGTTTCATCGACAATACTTGATAAATACATGAAGAGTGTTAGAAGGTTATTGGTGCAAGTTTATTTTATAAATCATACTTTTCAATAAATAGTATACATACTTGAGGAAAACTGTTATGGTATACTCCTTTATGATGCTTTATGAAAAATCCAGAAAAGTAACATTCTATTGTTGTTACACATTTCAGGTATTGGTATATGTATTAAAAATTCTGAATAACTATTCACCAACCTCCAAAATGAGTATTGACCATCATCAGGATCATGAAATTAATTTGGCGAATTTACAAAATTATCGTAAGATGAAACCATGCTAACGTTACACCAGTATTTGAAAAAGGAGACAAACATCATCCTGGTAATTACAGACCAATATCACTTACCTGGATCTCATGTAAATTACTTGAACATATACTAGCTAGTAACATGATGAAACATCTTGAAACAAATAAAATACTATATGAACTACAACACGGATTCAGAGAAAAAAGATCATGTGAATCACAAGTAATATCTCTTGTACACCAACTAGCTCAGAACAACGATAAAAACATACAAACTGATCAAGTAATCATGGATTTTGCGAAAACATTTGATAAAGTGCCACACAAACGCTTATTTAACAAACTAAGACATTACAGAATTTCAGATCAGGCAACTCATTGGATTAAATCATTCCTCTCCAACAGAACTCAAACAGCCCTTCTCAAAAACACATCTGAAATAATTCCAGTAACATCAGGTGTTCCTCAGGGCACTGTTCTAGGACCTATACTCTTTCTCATTTGTATAAACGACTTACCTGACTTCCTAAAACACAGCCAAATAAGACTCTTTGCAGACGACAACATTATTTACCAGCCTATAACCTGCCAAAATGATTGTATTAAGCTTCAATAAGACATCGAAGCAACTATAAAATGGGAGAAAGACTGGCTCATGTCATTCCACCCAGACAAATGCAACATCCTTAGAGTGTCAACAAAGAAAAAATAAATACATTTCTATTACAACATGCATGTCCATATCCTAGAACAAGTCCAATCAGCAAAATTTCTAGGCATTACACTTTCTTCAGATCTCAAATATTTATGGAACAAACATATACAAAAATAGCAGCAAAAGCAAATCAATCTTTATCATTTATCAGACGAATTCTAAAAATTAACTCAAAATTAGTAAAGGAAAGAACTTATCAAACTATAGTAAGACCAAAATTAGAATATTGCTGCACAGTTTGGGATCCACATACCTCAGAAAATACAAGAGTGCACACGCTGAAATGTCTCGCCTTCTTTACTAACCATTGATTTTATGTTGATAGTCCTAAATATAAAGCTTTACTACAAGTAACACATAAACTTAACATGATCCAAGAAAATGAGGTCAAGGTCAGTTAAACCAAACGAGAAATACATGTACACCTTACAATCATTCAATAAAACAAACATAGTTGACCTATTGCTTATAGTTTCTAAGAAACAGTCTTAACCAAGAAAACTTAACATTGATTAATGAACCATAAAAATGAGGTAAAGGTCAGATGATACCTGCCAGACAGACATATACACCTTACAATCTTTCCATACAACAAATATAGTTGATCTATTGCTTATAGTTGAAGAAAAACAGACCAAAACACAAAAACTTAACACTGAGAAATGTCGCAGGCTCGACAATATACAGACTGGACTTTATTTAACGTCATTTGTCCTAGGTTAAAGATGTCTTTTTTACATTGAAACATCTTTTTAGCTCACCTGGCCTGAAGGGCCAAGTGAGCTTTTCTCATCACTTGGCGTCCGTCATCCGTTGTCGTCGTCGTTAGCTTTTTACAAAAATCTTCTCCTCTGAAACCACTGGGCCAAATTTAACCAAACTTGGCCACAATCATCATTAGGGTATCTAGTTGAAAAAATGTGTCCGATGACCCCGCCAACCAACCAAGATGGCCGCCATGGCTAAAAATAGAACATAGGGGTAAAATGTAGATTTTGGCTTATATCTCTGAAACCAAAGCATTTAGAGTAAATCTGACAAGGGTAAAACTGATTATCAGGTCAAGATCTATCTGCCCTGAAATTTTCAGACAAATCTGACAACCTGTTGTTGGGTTGCTGCCCCTGAATTGGTAATTTTAAGGAAATTTTGCAGTTTTTGGTTATTATCTTGAATATTATTATAGATAGAGATAAACTGTAAACAGCAATAATGTTCAGCAAAGTAAGATCTACAAATAAGTCTTCATGACCAAAATTGTCAGTCGACCCCTTTAGGAGTTATTGCCCTTTATAGTCAGTTTTTAACAATTTCACATAAATTTTTGTAATCTTTTACAAAAATCTTCTTCTCTGAAATTACTGAGACAAATTTAACCATACTTGGCCATAATCATTATAAGGGTATCTAGTTTAAAAAAATTGTCCAATGACCCCGCCTTCCAACCATCATGGCCAACTTGGTTAAAAATAGAACATAGGGGTAAAATGCAGTTTTTGGTTTATATCTCTGAAACTAAAGCATTTAGAGCAAATCTGACAGGTGGCAAAAATGTTCATCAGATTTAGATTTATTTTCAGACGAATCCGACAACCCGTTGTTGGGTTGCTGCCCCTGAGTTAGTAATTTTACAAAAATTTTGCAGTTTTTTTGTTATTATCTTAGATATCATTATAATATCTAATATCTAATACTATTAATTATGATTTTAACCTTATTTTTCATGATTTCCAAAGCATCAGTAAATACAGGTGAGCGACACATGCTCTTGAGAGCCTCTAGTTTATTTATATGGTGTCATAGATCACATCTTACCATGTAAATAAGTACACGTAGAAAGACACCGCTATATATCGATATACATTCTTACACCAGCAGCTACGATCTTTTCATTCTGGAGTCAAGGGCCTAATAAAATCACATATTTTTATGTGAGATTGACTTATAAACCGTTTTTTCCCAATTCGTATTTCCTGCATTTATAATTCATGATCTGGTAAGTCACTGTCACAAATAATTGAACAACAATGATAGCTATGAAACTATGAGTAAATTTACAAAACACAAAACTTAGATAATACACGCCGTTTTACAAACACCTGTGATACAAGTAGTCAGCCAAAATATACTATCAATAGACTAATTAAAAGATTACTTAAATAGAACAGGTTTTTCCGAATTGGTCACGTGATTTTACCTCATCAAGTAATGGGATAACCACATCAAAGAATGACAGGACCACATCAAATAATGAAACAAACACATCATGTAGTGTAAAATCGTCAAATTTTGAAACATCATTACGTAATGTTAAAACCATATAAAGAATAGGCAAATCATCATTACAAAATAACAAAACCACATCCTGTAATGAAACAACTACATAACGTTAAGTCACATTCACATCAAGTAATGTTAAATCCACATTGATTAATGACACAACCACAATAAATAATGGTGAAACCACATCGAGTAATGACAAAACCATATTGAGTAATGACAAAACTATATCAAGTCAATACGAAACCATATCGTGTAATATCGAAATATCATTAAGTAATGACTATTCCATATTGAGTTATATCAAAACATCATTACGTAATGTCAAAACCATATTAAGTAAAGACAAAATATCATCAAGTAATAATAAAACAACATAAAGTAATATCAGAGTTCCACATAAGACAGCTGTGACGTTCCATAATTTTGGGTCCTCAATGCTCTTCAACTTCGTACTTTATTTGGCCTTATTAACCTTTTTGATTCGAGCGTCACTGATGAGTCTTTTGTAGACGAAACGTGTGTTTGGCGTACAAAATTTCAATCGTGGTATCTATGATGAGGTTTATTTACAATCAACAGTCATTAAAAGTAATTCTGAATAAAAACAAATGTAACAATGAATTACGCCAATTAGCCTGATTAATGCTCCAAAACAAAAACTTTTTTTTTAATTTCAATGTTTATTCATGAATTTGGAGATATACATTTTTAATATTTACCATTTAAATATCTGAATAAGATTAAAAAACTTTAAATTAAACCATTAATATTACTTTTTTTTTAAATAGGGCGAACGGACCCAGGGCGAACATGTAATTAGGGCGAACGGACCCGATACCCTAAGAACTAAATTAACATTAACATGAAATATATCTATCTATCTATACAGATGTCTTTGGCAAATCAAAAACCGTAACGTTTTTTTTTGTGGCATCTGTTTCATTAAGTTTGAAATTAAGGGCTCAGTAAATAGGCCAATTAAAGTTCGAAGTTGAAAAGCAGTTCACATTTTATTAGTTAAAGAAAGTTTTTAATCGTCACATCTGCTCTCTTCGTGACATCTGGAAAAAAGACAAACAAGTAACACATTGCGTACATTTTATAATTTAAACATAACATCTGGAAAATGACAAACAAGCAACACATTGCGTTAATTTATTAATTTAGAAAATAACGTCCTTGAAAGGGAAGGCGTGAGTTTTCAGTCCACCAGCAATGGTATAGACCCAATTCTGTAAAAAATAAAAATAACACTTTATACATTTCATGCGTCCCAAGAGCTTTACTGGAATTAACTACACCAGGAACGCTCAAAACCAAATATTTGAAAGTGAAGGATGAATAAGAACCGAAACAGTTGAAGAGCTATATGACTAAAAAGGGCCTAAAATAATAGCCTATCAATCTAAGTACAGGTTTGCCTCAGGGAGTTAAAACCTTAGTTTCTTAACACAATATTAAAATGATACAAAATATATATAGGAACGTACTTTGCATGTTGGCGTAACTAGTATATAAATTTTGAACTGGAAGAACATTCTGATCTTGACAGGTCAAAAATGATTGCAAATAGATAAGAAGAAATGATCAGTCTTTTAGTCAATTTTCAGACTTATCTACAACGTTGTTCACCACCTTTTCAAATCAACAAATATCTGAATCATTGTACATAATGTGCGAATCCTGAAATACCATTTTTATTGTATCCGTTATGAATTTCTAATGCAGAATTATAAATAAACAGACGACTAATTCATGATTTTTGAATAAAAAAAGAAATAATATATAATATGTACTCTTTTTATAAATTCATGATATA